CTGAGGAGAGGGGACTTTGACGGAGCTGCCGACTGACACGCTGTCTATTTAAAGACTAGTAGTGAGGGTTATAATCTTGACAACGCTTACTGTAAATAAATGTTTGATACTAGCCATGTGTTACCAGCCACATGAACGCCAAATTCAGCAACAAAATCTGCAGACAACGCAGAGCAAAACTGCCAGAACAATGACCACTTGTCGTCAACATAAAGACATATCAAAGTTCATCAGTCAAGGCTGTTTTTGGCCCTTTTTGGCCCATTTGGTGGCTTTTATAGTAAAGTGTTGTCTGTCTCTTTCCCTGCAGGCAAAAGTTAATTGATGTACAGAGGGAGGGTGTATGGATTGGTTTTCAAACAGTGGATGTGGTCTGAAAGAAGCCATCTAACCACCCATCCATTCACCCACTGCTCCTGTCTGTTCAAAGCTTCAAGATGAGATAGTAATAAAGGGAGGGCTGGATGGATAAATGAATATGATGATGTGCCATGCCGTCAGTCATCACTCAATTCAATTGGGCTAAGTGCTGTGTGTTGTTCTTTTCGGAGCACTATGATATCTAAACATCTCTCTGGAAAGCTGTAAAAGGAGTGTGTGTATGTGGGTGGGAATGGTGAAGACAGACCATTGGTTTGACTATCTTACAAAGAAACTGAAAGAAAAGTTACCAAGGAACTTGCACACCAGTTCTTTGCATATGTGTATTTTATCATTGTAGCTCTAATATGGCAAAATTAGGCTAGGCTAGGTAGTCTGATTAAGTCACTTTTCAGTTTGTGTCCAAAGCATTGTTGTTTATGGTTTAGAGAGTAAGCCTTATACATTGTGTAGTCATCACTTTTTTAAATATGTGTTTATGTTCTTGTTTTGGGCAAACATGTAAAAAAAATTATAAAAAACAGTTCACTTTGGCAGAAATGTGAGTTTATGTTTATTTATAATATATTTTATTCATATAGTGCTTTTGAGGATACTCAAGACAGTTTACATATATTACGTACCTTCGTGGAGGTTATAATTAGAAATAAGCAGTTTTGTTGCAACTGTTTTAGAAAGGTGTTTAACTTTACTTTTTTTTTACTTACTTTACTACCATTTTGGAGGATGTTGTTTGTGGTGTGTTGCATTGTACAGAGAGGTGTTTCTGTTATTTAGCTTATCCTCACTGATGTAACATGGTAATGATGGTAAGTAGTTTGGTTAAAATAATTCCCTGCATTATTTATTCTTTTTTTTTCAGCCAGTAAATCTAAGCCTTGATTGTTTGTTTGTTTTCCTGTGGTTTTGTTTGTTTGAGTCCACCCTTCAACCCAATGTATTTCCTGTGGTTGAGGTGTGTGTAAATGGCCTTTAATGGTTTATAGATTAATGTACTATGTTGGGGAATTGTTAACTTGATTTTTGTGCACATTTTATATTTTATATTTTTGTGCATCATATTTTTGTATAATTCATATTTTTAACGGGGGATTCTGACTGTGCTTCCTGTGATTACCTTGCTGCTTGGATGCAATATCGTATGGGACTAAATGTCCAGTGACTGATTTATGTCATATTAAAGGGCTATTAATGCAACAGTAAGACACCAGACATTTGGAAAAGAGTATGGAGACACACATACATAAAGTCAAGATTTTGTGGTGAAGAGCTGCACGTTCGGGACAAGGGGGGTCTATTAGAGCTGTCCCTCACTCCTAATGACTCTCTACTGGTTGTGTTGGTTCTATAAAGAGCCTGCATTTACTCTTTACTAAAGAAACTTTGATACTGATCGGCCTCTGTTAAGCTGCAGTCAGTTCCTCTTGTTTCTATTCTTTTCAATACAATTTGTCCTTTTGAAGCCTGTGCTTATTCTCTCATCTCTCTATTGAAACTCCTCAGTCAGTTTCTAGTGTTTCTAAGCAGCCAGCTGCCAAGACTGTCTACCATCACAAGCATAATAAAGCCCTCATCTCAGACCAGCATTGAAAAATAGTCCTATTTTTGCAGGCTGCTCCAACGTCTAAGAATACAAGCAGCCAAAATAGCCCATTATGGTTCTGAGAAGAAGGTTGTGGAATGTCTGCAGAATGTGTTGATTTCTCATCCTCTGAACAAACTGATCAGATTAAAGGTGTGTGTGTGGGTGTGTGTGGGTGTGTGTGGGTGTGTGGGTGTGTGTGTGAGAGAGAGGTCTAAACCATAGCATGGATATTGAATTAAACTGGATAAATGCATGTACACATGTCTGTATACAGAGACATGCAGCTTAGCCCTGTGGGTAAGAGGTTTGGGGTCAGTTTTAGGGTAGTGTTTTAATCCCTTCCTGTGTTTTCCTGCAGGAGCTTGTTGGTGGTTAAGACAATGGATTTAATAGGAAATCAATGCACAAACCTTTACACTGCTAATTAAGAAGTGACTTTACATCCTTTTATGTATTTTAAACATTTCAACTGTCCAATGTTTAACAGATAATCTAAAGAGTAGAGTGACAATTCATGAACATCACCAAGATGTGTTTTTGTCCCTAAACCTAACCAAACCTTAACCTTAACGCAGCGAAGAGCAGCAAATCCTCACATTTGAGAAGTTCAGTCTGCTACTACAAACCAGCAGATTAATTGTTATGTGTTTTAAATGCTTTGTATGCACACAAGACCACATTTTACATATTTATATGGTGGTCGTGGAATTGATTTTCCACTGCTCCGGAAGGCCCCTCAGTGTTTGCTGTGAAGGAAGGAAGTATTTCCTAACCACTCTTCCTGCCCGTGTTTTTCCAGCCAGTCGGGGGATTTGAGCCAACTAAAACCTCCTCTAACCTCTGGGTTACCTCCACCCCATTAGCTGGGTTCATTGATTACATGAAACTCGATTAGTTTAGTGTGGGATTTTTGGTTTTGACCAGAACTGCTGCCACAATTGTAAAACCGAGTTTAGCTACTGTACACCTCCAGGTGATTGACAACTCTGCCACCAGAACTCCTAATGATTAGGAATATATTTGTTGACTTCCATTTGCATTTAAGTTTGTGTTCACACTTTGATTCACAGCCTTTACTTAAGTCTGATGATGACTCATCAAGACTGAACTTTGTCACCATACGTATTTTCTCCTGACACGTTTTAACAAGACTCCTTCTCCTCTCATTTCCAAGAATTCATTGAAATGAAATGCAAATCATTGCTTGTTTCCATAAGCTACTGTTATGAAAATATATTTGAGGACATGACAAAATTAGATGATTACAATAGCACTAGTAACTGACGCATCATGGCATATGTGCTACCGTGACTAATTTAGTTAGTCACCTGTGATTCACTAGTACCCTGTACCTGCGGACTTTACAGTTATGTTGTAGGATATGCATCCTAGAGGAGTTGGCAAGCCAGGGCCTGCCAGCCAAGCTGCTGCTAACGTTAGCTCAGCTTGCTCCTCTCATAACTTATCCGGATGTTCCAGGTTTTAACTGGAATATTTACTTTACTGTGGCTTAAAACTGGATTAAAAAGTTGTGTGCAAAGACGATATGACACCATTGAGAGGTGACTTGTGAAACGCACGGTTACCTGAATATAATGAAGGTGTTTACTGGCTTTAAACATTGTTGGAATCATTTGGGATAATGTTTTATAGACATTTTAATGTGGAAAGGTTACCTATTATAGCTTTAATATTTTTCTATAAGTCACCTTTTAGGAAATTATGACAGGTATTTTCCACTCTATTCTGACATTTTCTAGACCAACAAACGACAAATCGATTAAAGGAGAAAATAATCTGCAGATGACCATATATTGAAAATTAAGTACAGGACTAATGGGTCTAATATAGACACCATGACAGTGCCCAAAACCTCGATGGGACAGGGGACTAGGGATGTCCAGTATCTCTCGCTCTCTGTCACGCACACACACAGAAAAACAAACACACACAGGCGTAACTCATTCACGTAAGCAGCCCATCTGTCCCCTGCGACCAGCAGCTGGTCGGTGGCACGAGTGTCCAGTGTGAACTTGACCTCTGACACCCTGCGACATCCACTGTATCTATCTACTGTATCTGTATCTGTCCTACAACCAATCTGTCTGTCCTTAACATGCAGCTACACACACACACACACACACACACACACACACACACACACACACACACACACACACACAATCACTGACATCCTCCCCTTGCCATTAGAATCATTAACTGGACACTGATTATATTAAGGCCGGACCCACAAGACTAATTTCACTAAGTGCAAAAAGCTTGTGCTGGAGGTTGGAATGTGTGTGTGTGTGTGTGTGTGTGTGTGTGTGTGTGTGTGCGTGTGCGTGTGTGTGTGCAGTATATACTGTAGCTGTCTGTCTGTCTACTTGTACAAGCTACAGTTTTGTCCTGTTAGCTTGTTTGGCTTTGCTGTGCTTCTTACTTTTTTAACCTCCCATCCAGTTCAAAGTGATTTGATGCTGATCGCATAAAATGAAGAAGACTGTTGTTCTGAGTGGATTTGCAGGAGCAGAAAAGATTGAAGAGAAATTGAATAAAGGGTGTTTGTTGTGTGTTTATGTGTTACAGCTGCACAGTTAAAAGAAAATGTTTAATCAACTTACATGGTCACTGCAGCAGGCGTTTCTGAAATCCTTCCAAACAAGATATCATGTTTTAATAGTTGCAGAAAACTTTGCTGTAGAAAAACTAAACAAGTCATTTATTATTCATTAGCACTACATCTGTTAAAGGGTTATGTAGAAGAAGCCGTTTCCAAAATGCTATGTTGCACAAGTGTTTGAACAACATGAAGTGCAGTCAGATTTAGTGAAGGTTATGCTGCCTGTGTTGTTGTATACTACTTTTATGTTGGCTGCGTGTCCACTCACTCAGTGGGTTTCCAAGAAGTGTTTTGTTCCTGGTATTCGTGTTACTGTAGCGCACATGTTGAACAAAATAACACGTATTTCGATAGCTTCTTTTTCTGGTACTGACTGTTGACTGTTTCCACTCTGCTCTTGTCTTTCCGCAGATCACCAGAAACTGGAGCGAGAGGCGAGAATCTGTCGTCTGCTGAAACATCCAAACATAGGTGAGTCATTTGAGAGCCAACAGACCAATAGATTAGTGGAACAGCAGGGAAAAGATGCGAAGGAGTAAACATTTTTACTCACTGCAACAGATTGCAGTCAGACAGATCGTGCAGCCATGTTAACACTTGTGTTTTGTTGAAATTGACTTTACTTCCTTTTTGTTTTGAGTCACACAGATCACACTGCTGTGCAAAAATAAAAACCGTAATTGGAAAAAAATATTTTTCCTTTAAACACGTATTTCCTTTTCTTTTGATCATAATAAAACCCAATATTTAGAAACGTATTGCATTGATAACCCTTCCTTTTGCTTGCACATTCGATGAAAAAGAACATTCCTTGTGCCCAAGTCCATGTTTGTCCTATGTACAAATGGTTTTAAAACTTCAATGACATAAGTCCTAATAGACTAATCTGGGTTCTAGGAAGTTTAGTGCTGCATAAAAAGTATTGTGACAAGCAAATCGCACACATAAAGCAAAAAATTCAATGTATTTAATCAACTTGGGTCTCTGACACCCCAAAGTGATGTGTTATTTTCTGTAGCTGTCTTTAGAAACATATCATCAGTTCAGTTCAAAATCATGTTTATAAGCATACCTCAGAAAATCTTAAAAAAGCCATGAAAGTGTCAAGCTGATGAAACAAAACAAACCCAACAGGAGATAAAGGTTAACTATACACACATGCAAGTGAAGGTGCTCTGATCACATTAATGAACTACAAATGTTTAATCACAAAGAAACCATTATTACCATTACAGAAAAAAACTGTTTATGAGTCAATCATGAGTCCAACATGAGGTAATGATACTGCATGAGGTGACAGGCACAGGTGCATGCAGGTGTTGGCCCCCTCACCAACACAGTCAGCAGTCACAGTAGTGGCTGTGACACACAGCTCATGGAGGCAGTGAAGGTACTTTAAAGCCATTAGTGCCTGATTGCCACAATTTGCAGCAAAAATCTCCCTCCAACTTCAGTCATAACTCAGTCATCAAACGCACAACGTGATACGCATATTTTTACAGTGTGACTCACACTTGCCGATGTCCATCATCAGTAAACCTCCATAAAAAAGGCAGTGTTCATATCTCCAGAACGTCACTGAGAATCATCACCTTTTTTAAGTTTTCTTCAGTATCAGAGTAATCCAGTGATAGCTGTCTGTACATCCATGGGTACTTTGCAAATAGGAAGTGCTAATAGCTAATTTGGCATACTTGTAATAGTGCCAATTTGCCAAAATGTACAAACACAGACAGTTGTCTCGATTTTGTTGGAGGGGTGTTCCGTAGTCTCAGATTGTGACACCCACAAGTTTTCTTTTCTTTAAATGTAATTCATCTGAAGTAAGAAGAGAGTATATCAGGCCTAATTTAAGCACTCAAGCACTTTCACCCACCTTGACACAAACAGGTTTTAATCTACCTGTGAACACCCAGTTACTCAGTCGTTGTTGTTTAAATAAAGCTATTGTGCTTTGTACAGTGATGATTCCTGGCTGCCTTTGTGTTTGTTTAACAGAGAGATAACCTTAAAACGAATTTACCAGTATCACATCAATTATGAATGATTAAAATATGGAAACCATTCTGTCAACTTTGTCATCCAAGAGCTGATTCCTGGTTGCCAACAAGCCAGGTGGCTCTTAGACTTTAGAATCCTGCTTTGGCAGCCTGGAGTGGATCATTTCAGATAGGAAGAGAAAAACTGTGCTGCTGGAGACCCCGTAACCTTGGAGGACTGTATCACTTGACCTTGTGTGTGTTTGTTATGATTGCGAATGAACATGCCGTGATACAGTTGTGCTGATTTGTGTCGATGGATGATCAATGATGGGCAATCATTCAAAGTTTACGAAATACAAAATGCAGGTCCTCAATAAAAGCTATATTTAAACAGTTGGCACAGACTGTTTTTGCAGCACAGTTCTGGGTTGTGTGTTATGTGGAAACACAAAAGTAAATTTTTAGAATCAGAAATTACCCAGCGCAAAAATTATACTGATCCTGCTTCACCACAAAATTGAAATGATCAGACATAATAATTCTGCACAATTTACACTCAAACAAACAGTGTGTCATGCATCTAGAAAGTACAGAAACAAAATGTGCTTCCCCTGGTCTAAGTGTGTTTTATTTAAGAATATGAGTCTGTACATTGTTACTGAAAATGTTGCACTTATTTATTACACGTTACTCATGATAATTAATTAGATCACTGATTACTCATCTGCAAAGTAACATGCTGGGATACTTGTTACTCAGCTCATCTCCATCAGAGGTAACTTACTTAATGCACGTACACACCTATTAAACTTCTGCACCCACATGTCACAGTGTAGAAACAGAGAACCAGACATTGTGTAATTGCTTACACTTCTTACTGAAACAGTGATCACATTACTGTAACGTGTTACTGCCAAACCCTGGTTGTAATTATCCCTGCCCCCAACACACTCACATACACACAGAGGAAATTCCTTCAAGGTGGTGGTTTATAGAGTTACCATAGAAGATCATTTAAAGTACCTAATTGACTGATTTGTAATTGAAGTCTCTCTCTCTCTCTCTCTCTCTCTCTCTCTCTCTCTCTCTCTCTCTCTCTCTCTCTCTGTGTGTTTCGTTCTCCCTTACTAGTACGACTCCATGACAGCATCTCAGAGGAAGGCTTCCATTACCTCGTCTTTGACCTGTAAGTAAATCCCATTAACACACACTCAGAGGTCACAAGTTCAGGCTGGAGTATTGCTCCAGGATGAACTGCTTCTCCTTAGTAATCCATGAGTCTATGACTGTCACCATTCACAACCAGACATTCAAATCAGTCTTGTCGAGGCTTGTATTATCAGCAACCAGTCAAGTGGCCTCTTAAAGCACCAGTTAGAGTTACACATACAGGTTACCACAGAACATGTTGGATCTAGAAGGATGCATCAACATAAATCAATATCCCTCCTCAAAAAGCTTCAGCTATCATACCACAATGGAAGTTAAGACCAAATGAGAGATCAAAATAACCAAGTTTGTTCTTTAGAAAAGCCATTGAAAGGTATTGTCACGACATCGTCTGCAGTGTGTATTTTTCCATTTGTCACAGGGATCTTCATTTGTCTCTTTGACAGAAAAGAGAAATAACCAAGTTTCTATTTTGTGTCTGCCTGCAGTGTCACTGGAGGAGAGCTGTTTGAAGACATTGTTGCCAGAGAGTATTACAGTGAGGCAGATGCCAGGTACACTATATCATCATGCTAACATGTGAACACATTATATAGTGCATGTTGTGTTAATTGTCAATTTTCCTGTGTATTAAGTTTTTAAAGGTGGCCAAAGTAAAATTTCAGTCTGCCATAAGAGTTAAGTTAAAAGCACAAAATGCTGTTTGAATCTGCATTAATGGACTTTGTGCTTTCTGGCAGTTCTCTGAGGTTGTTTTCAGTACACGATACACACTTTATTTTTGACCATGTGACTCGGGGCTTTTAAATTTAATTCCATTAATAAATAATGATAAAGCTGTCTTAAGTTTTTAAACCTTATTTTTCGGCTGTTGTCAGAAGTTGCTGTTGGGTTTTTTTTTAACCTGCGTGGATTATGCAGGCTAAACTTTCTCTAATGCTAGATTTTTGTGAGTCATTTGAGTAACACAGTAAATTAGTTTATTGACTTGAACATGATCTGCATGATCAAATAAAAACATTGGATCCAGACATGATTGCATATGCAAAACAAATCTGTTAACACATTCATAAAATAAAACTGCTCAACAACAAGGTAATGTTCCCGCATTTTCAGGCAATAATGTTGTGTAACTAAGACTTTCTTGTCTGTGCCTATAAACATTGAACTAAGAACATTTGAGTGGTGGCAGAGTCAGTCTGAGTTCATAACCCAAAGGATTATAGTGCGAATCAAGCTGATGATTCATTTTACAGACAAACTTGGCCTGTGTGTCTCCTTATTAAAGCCTGTACTGATGGAAGCCCTCCCTCTAATAAACAGGTCAAGTTGGGAGTGGAAGTTTTCTATCCAAGCAAAGCTTTTACCCTGGCCATGTAGAGGGTCTCAATGGATTTAAGAGATACCTTTAGCCAAACCTCACACCCATACAAGAGAAGGCAGCTTCAGACACTTTTTTTTTTTACACTAATGGGCATCATACACATGGTTGAACAGAGTAGAAGTATGGGTACCCAAAACTTTCATGTTTTCTCTGCCAAAGCCCAGAGAGCCACCAACTCTGACATACCATGACAACATCCTCCTTGAGCTGTTTTTCTGCATGTCCTTTTACAATGTACCAAAAAAACATCTTGTGATTGACAGAAGGAAATTGTGTGTTATTATGCCCATCAAATACATTTGGCACCAGATTAAGTGTCTCACCTTTTAGGTAGTTAAAGCCACATATAAATAACAGCTGTAAATGGTATTTACATAGTTTCTAGACTACCGCATAGACTAGCACAAAACTATTCAGGATTCTAACATTTGGTTGTCTCACTGACTGACATACATTTTGGATTAGACCAGAAAAAAACAAAGGCAGGACAGATATAAGGTGAAGAGTGTTGGAGACAGGGCATGAGAGAAGAAGTGAGGGAAAGTACAATGCTAAAGTGAATAAAGACAGCAGCGAGGTAGCCTGATGGGCACCATACTAGCTGCAAAAACAGGAAAGAGTAATGTATTGAGTCCAGATTTACCCTTATTTAGATAGAACACCAGGAGCTCTTCTTTTGATTCTGTCGTACAGAGAGAGGACACCACTCTCCCAAAATCTGTCTCTGTGCATCCTCCTGCTGCTGACCCTGACTTCACCTTTACTGATGTCAAGCTCAATTTAATTTAGAAGCAATAGCAGTAATTTTAACTGCGCATCAGACCAGCACAATTGCTGATATGTCAGCTTAGGACAAGCTTACATAAGCAACCCCCCACCGCACACACCCTGCCCGCTCCACAACCTTCCACACATTAATTTACATAAGAATGCACAAAACTTCTATTCCACATATATCCCTTATCCTCCTGTCCAACTGCATGCAGATTGCAAGTGGCGACAGTGGGATCTTTAGCAAGTGATTACAAATTGCAGGTACATTTGTGAGTCTTACAGGGCACTTGCATGAGTCAGTCATGGGTTATAAATATATCAGTTGTTTTAATTAGTGGCACGTGAGAGGAAATAATCTAAAATATCACAGCAAACACTTGTTGAAACGGGCTTCTGTTTGCAGGGATTTGGTCCCAATCAGCCACAAGAGCATTAAGGTTGGGTTAAATATGGGGATAACAGTACATATTTGATTTTTATTCTCATCACCTTACACCTGGCACATCCTGGCATGATGTTGGCGTCAATGTTCCAGAAAGCTTTGAAAAATGGTCAGACACAGTTGTAGTTGACGTTCCAGTTCATCCCTAAAGTCTTTGTTAGACCTGAGGTCAGGGCTCTGGGTGTCCACATACTTTTGGCCAGATAGTACTGTAGTGAAATCATTTTGTGGCCTATGGGAGAGCTGGCTGCTGTTGATTTGCTAGAGTTACAAGATACAGTGTGCACAGCAGTAACTTTTTACTGATCTTTTACTTGCTCCCCTCTTGAACTCTGTCATCTTTCTTTGTTTTCTTATGACTTTTACTTTTGCCTTTGGCCTGTCCCAGCATGTCTGTCTCTTCCCAGTTCATACTTTGTCTGTGTTTTCGATCTTTCTGAGCACAATTGAGCATAAGTTTATTTAGTGTTGTTGGAGTTCAGAGTCTCTTACTTACAGAAGCAAGATATGTTCATGTCTTAAAACATACAAACTTATCACATTATAGTAAGAACCTTTATCTATTATTTTGTTATAACATGAAACGTTATAATATTATACTGTTATAGCAAAAAATGTTTCACGTTGAAGTGTAAGTTACGACATTACATTTTTCACACGATAACAAGATAGATTGTTATAACTATATATATGAAAAGTTTCTTGTTATATAGTGATAAGTTCTTATGTCGTAATAACGTGAAAACTTTGACATTATAATGACACTGATCTGATTTGTCTTTTCTGGCGTGGCAGCAATATATTGCAGAACTTATTCGGTTGACCTTCAATGTTGAGTTTCACCGAACGTTGTTTTCTTCTCTGCTTCAGTCTGTACTCTATTGTCATCTAACTGTTGTGGATTGACAAATGTGTCCCTCCTCTGTTGCTCATTCTTCTCTGTCTCCTCCAGCCACTGCATCAATCAGATCCTGGAGAGCGTCAGTCACATCCACCAGCATGACATTGTGCACAGGGACCTCAAGGTGAGTTATCATATACCAGTGGTGAGTATGGGAGGACCTTTTGTACTATCTGACGTACCAGTCAGACAGAAATCTGTTTCATACAGCCCTGTGTTGTGAATGAAGATGAAAGGCATTTATGGAGATTCACAACAGGTCTAAACACACATTCGCACAGACGTATGGCTGTGACGTTAAGAGCAACTTAAGAGATGAGCGTCATCCCAGTCTATCTTCACCTGCTTTCTCTCCTCTTTATTTCTCAATTCCCATCTTCCCCTACGTCTGTACCCCCTCCCCCTTTTCCTCTCCTTCTACCCCCCCTGCACTGCTGAGGAATGACGAAAGCAGACCAGCTGCTATTAATAGCAGGTCGGTGGGTGAGATGACGGCCAGTGACGATTTCCCCCGCAGCAAGACCGCTCACCCCTACCAGAAACAAACAGCACTTTGACATCTTCAGCTGTGATATTTCATTTTAATAATATGGAGAATGAAGACAGCAAAACGAGCTGAGATTTAAACACCTGAATAATTGCACCACTTTGTTTTTTTATTGCCAATACTGAGTTCAGAGTCCTAAACTTTAATTGTTTACTTAACAAGCTGTTCCATTACTTTTTTGTGACAGAGTTATATTAAACCATTACTCTAAGTAAGTAGACAAGTATAATTGGAAAATAAATAATCTGTTTTTGTGTGAGAGTGGCGTAAATGGACTGTTGCTTTTCATTGATTTTTTAGCTTGCATATAGAGCTCAGTATCAAATAAGCTTAGAGAGGGCAGAGTTTAGGAAAGACGATAATGTTAATGGATGATGAAAGGAGAGGACAGAAATTAATTACATTAGTTGTTAATGTTCAACTCTCTTTTCATGCACTGAATGCATGGTGCATCTGTGCTGGGTTATTATTTAAAAACTAATTTAGTGTAGCAGAGTGTGTAGTATCAATCACACTCACCAAAATGTATTTTTAATTCTACTAGAGAGAAGTTTCCAAAAATACCAAATATAGGAAAATGTGTTTAATATTACATTATATTTAATATTTCCAATTGATGGAATGAAGCAGGGTAAAAAGTTTAAAAAGTTTAAACAGTTTAAACTTCATAATACTTCTCATTACATCCATTTGGCATTTAGCTTTAATGAAGAGCTGATACAGAATATATCCATTTATCTCTTTCTATTTATATGATATAAATAGTTTTTGGAGGGGCAATTTGGGGATAGCAGAAACAGAAATATATCAACTGTGTGAAACAAACATTTGCTTATTTGCTAATCCAGCAGTGGAGAAATATTATGACTTATTTGGAGTAATGTTTCTGGCCACCTATATTCACTTATTCTTTTGGTTCTGTATTTTTTTTTTTTGTCTCTACCAACTTCTTGCTCTTTAGCTGCTAAATGTTCAACTATATTCACTAGGTAGTTGCTAACTTTGTCTACCCCGCATTTGTTGCTGAGCGGGGTGTGTTCATTGGGTTTTTTGTGCTTTCTCACTGAAAACATCTGCTTGCTGCATCCAAAAACAATACTATGAGAGCGGTGAAAGTGAACCAGAGCACTCAAGTTGTGGACCAAACCGCTAATGAGCAGAAACTTGCTATAAAGCTCTGCGAGAGCTGCACATAGTTTTCTTTTCTGATTCACTCATCATTAACCGTCTCATCAAGCTGTTGTCCAGTAGCAGAAGGCAGCTCTGTTTTAGCAGAAAATCTCTAATAAACTAGCTTTACACTATCTGTATCACCAGCTGCACAACAAAGTTAGTAACTAGCTGGTGAACATAGTGGAGCATTTAGCAGCTAAACAGATTATTCTCAAGAGGCGGTTGAGACCAAATCAGAGCTAAAAGGAGAGACTTTTGGACTTAAGCAGCATTAGTTTTTCTAAAAAAGATTCTTGGTGAGACAAACCTGACCTTCAATCATCTGACAGCTAAAAGAAAGCAACATCTGAGAACTTCCCAGAGATAAAGCTGCCAAAATTGACATCTGTCGTCACAAAAATACTAGTAATGCCAACAAAGTGTGCCATGGAGAGTTGTGACATCTCACACACCCTCATCACATTTTTGCCTCCCTGTCATCTTGGGAGGGCCACTCGCTGAAGGGAAAACAAGAATTGGAGAGAAAGAGTTGAATGCTGTTGGCTGGTGGCAGGCTGGGTTGCCATGGTAACAGTAGGGTGAGGTCACCCGGCTGCTGCAGCGCCAGCGTAGGGACTCATTATGCCACCTCCCAGCTATCTGTCTCTATCTCTCTCTTTTCTTCTGTTGCTTTCACTCCAGCTCTCTGTCCGTGTGCAGTCCCCCTTTTTCTTTTTCTTTCCTATTGTTTCAATTTGACCTGATAGAGTGAGGGAAAATGATATGAGGAAGGAGAGATGGATAAATAGATAACAAGATGGAGAGAAAGCGCAAGACTGACAAATGAGAAGAAACGAGAAGAAAAGAGCTCAAAGACAAGTGTCAGACATCCATTTGTCTGTCTGCATTTGAGGTGATGAAGACAGCTAACCACTGCAAAGACTTTTGCCCATAAGACACGTACACCACATTGTTGAAGAAAAACATACATTTTCAAAACTGCTTATACTGCTTAGGGTCACAGGGGGCTGGAGCCTTTCCTAACATTTATTGGGTACCTGTCCATCAGGACTAATACTTATATAGACCTCATTTATGCCTTCTGTATCTGGATATGTGATGACTGGCTTTTGCATTTACACCTGGTATGTTCACCTGGAGAGTCGTTATCTAGATTCTGCCTTGTCAAATATGCAAATTAGGTTGGAAGAGCTGGCAAACATACAAGGCCGGAGGTCTAAGGAAGCAATGCAGGAGACTCAACGAGGCCCCTACAAGGTGCAAGGGGTCACATGATTGGTGGACAGCCAAAAGAACTTGATGATTTTTTTCTGAATAGAAGTTCGAGCTAGAGCTAGAAGTAGCTTGGCTACCACTGTCGGTCAAGTGACCCTTGTCTTGCATGTCGTCCCTCAATAGTCTCCCAAAGCAAAGCTGCCATATGGGCTCTTCTTTTTCCTCCTTTTTTCCTTCCTAGAGAAATAGATTGTCTGTGGCTCTTTGAAAGGCAGTTTGAGAGAACAGGAAGAAGTAGATTTCTTTTCTTAAAGGTCCAGTCTGTAACATTTGGCAGAAATTGTCTATAATATTCATAGTTATTCATGTTTTTTGTATAATCACCTATAAAAAATAAAAAAAAGAATTGTTGTGTTTTTGTTACCTTAGATAGAGCCGTTTTTATATACAGAGGTAGCGGGTCTTCTTCCACAGAGGCCGCCATGTTGAACACAATGTGTTTGTACAGTAGCCCAGAATGGACAAACCAAACACTGACTCTAGAGGCCGTAGTTTCTCCTGCACACTTGGAAGGCTGAGCTGTATTCATAGTTGCATCGTCCCTGCTAGACGCCACTGACTCCTACGCACTGGTCCTTTAAGAATGATGTCCAATCATAGTCCAGTTGGACTGTATTTGGGTTAGGGTTAGGGTTACATGGTTTTAGACCAGCATTAACATACAGTAATGTAAACCCTGGGCACTTTCCTTATCTCTTCAATGCTGCAGATGAATTAGAGGAATTCATGCAAAAAATGTATTTAATTAATGCTAAAAAGCTGTGCAAGAGAAGTCCTGCAAACTCAACAAAGCAAGAGCAAAAATAGCCGTTGGAGTCAAACCCAGGATGTTCTTGCTGTGAGGCGACAGTGCTAACCACTGAGCCACGATACAAAAAAACAGGTCAACCCTTTAAAAACCTAAAAGAAGTAATGTAAAACAGCTGTGGATAGCAAGAAAGCAGTTAAGACAACTGAAGCACAGTTAACATGTCCTTATCTTTGCTAAGACCTGGCTTTTTGCATGGTTATGTGATCATGAGGACTGTGTCAAAATACTGCATTAAATTCTGTGACAGATAACTGAAAAGGTCTTTCCTTTGGGTGAAGCCTTTGTTGCCTGTTTGACCAAATCATGCCTCATTACTACTGTAGATGTCATCGTGCTCCTGCAGCTCATCCAGTCATGCAGACGGATGGAACATTTCTTGAAGGAGGGTACATGGTTATTTCGTTTGCCCTTAATTAAATGTTTTTTTTCCCCCTTGTTGCTCATAACCGCAATTAATTTTGTGGCATGCAAAAGTCCAGTTTATTCAAGGATACATTTAAGTAAATTGGTACACTTCCTTTATAAAGCAGCTTTCAAAATCATCGTATCGTCTGACTAGGAGAAGGCAGTTCCATTGGGCCACAACTGCAAAGGCTCGGTCACCTTTGTTTTTAAGCCTATATTCTGGCACTGCCAGAAGGCCTTGGTAAGTAGACCTCAGGGATCTTACCGAGGTCAGGGGACACAATAATTGAGAAATATAAAGTGGGGCCAGGCTTTATAGGTGATTAAAAGACTTTTAAAATAAATTCTACGTTCAGTAAAGGTAACCAGTGGTTGGTAGGTTGGCCAAGACTGGTGTCATGTGTGACCTATGAGACGTGTTAGTGAAAGTGAAAGTCTAGCGACCACAGGGAGGAAACAAAAATAACTTTTTTCCAGGTCTTAAAAGGAAAATGCGCCTTTTGATTTTAGCAATGTTTCTTAATTGGAAGAAACATGATTAGACCTCTTTATTATCTGCCATTTGGAGTTCATAAGTTGGTCAAAGAAAACTTCTAGGTTCTTTGAGGCTCGCTTAACATTTGCTGCTAGAGGACCAATACACTGCAGTTTTTGTTTGGAAATGCTCTCGGGGGGGTTGATGAGGACTTGTGTTATGTCAGAGTTAACAGTTTGTTTGTGTGTGTTGCAGCCAGAGAACCTGCTCCTGGCCAGTAAGATGAAGGGAGCAGCTGTGAAGCTTGCAGACTTTGGTCTAGCCATTGAGGTGCAGGGGGACCAACAGGCATGGTTTGGTAAGAAATAAGATTCTAACCAACATTAACCTTATTCTCTTCATTTATCCAGTGTTCACTTTCAGTAGTAGTACAGAATATGTATAAAATAATAAAATATAATAAATAGGTTTGTACCAAATTGTTGTATCTATTTAAAACTTTTTTTTAAAGAAGCCGAACAAGGGGAAGATGAAGGAGCATAAAGAGAAGGAGAAATGTTGAGATAATGCCATTGTCCTCATTTGTCCAAAACACACATGCACCTGAAAAAGCTTTTGTAATGCTTGATACAGGGATCAGAAAGGCTTATGAACCCATAGTCCTACTCAAATCATGCAGTCATCAGAAAGAATACTGTATATTATTATAATGCTTGTATGGAGTTTCAGACAAATTTCACACAATTATAATTTTTCGCAGGTTTTGCAGGAACTCCAGGATATCTGTCCCCAGAGGTGTTGAGAAAGGACCCGTACGGAAAGCCAGTGGACATATGGGCATGTGGTCAGTTAGTCAGTTTTCACCTTTTCTCTCTGTTTGTTCATATGCTCACAAATATTCATTTGGAAATATATGCCTCTGAAGCTACATTTTTGTATATACCAGTCCCTCCAGAAAAACGTGATTATGCGATCGCATAATTCAATGCATAATCAGCCAAAGTCCGCATATTTATGCAGGGGCCGCATTTTTTCAAATACGCCGCACTTTCGCCACATAAATTGCCGATTTCCGCGCAAAATATGCAGGGCTTGCATTATCTCATAATCCCTCGCATTTTCATTGCAAAAAAGTCACATATATCTTTGCAGAAAGTTGAAAAATGTTGCGTTTACTTCACACAAGAGCAGCCATTTTCCTCTGTTGCCATAGGAACGTTATGAAGTGACGTAATTACACGACGTGGACGTCATCGAAAAGCTGCAAACCCCGCGATGGATGGACGTTGAGGGAGAGGGGATGGAGGATGAGAATGCGAATGATTGGCCAGTTTTAGAGGCTACACAGTTATAGTTTTCCTTTTCACAGTGGAATGTTGTCGTTTCTTTCAGGAGTTGATGCAACTTTACAGTTGTAAGATTGCACTTTTTTGTTACCAGTGGGTTAAATCATACTCGTTTCAAAAAGCTTACAGTTGTAAGTATATTAGTAGTATGTAAATTTACGTTACAGTAAGAGAGCACTTTGTGCATTGGAAGCACCTATTTTAACAGAAGATGTCTGTTTTGTATAGCTACCACTGTCACTTTTTTTTCTCTTTTTCATCAAACCGCAATTTTTGCAAGTTCCACAATTTCATCGCATAAAATTGCATAAATATCCCGCATTTTTTAAGAAAACATGCCGCATAATCAAGGATTTTTGCCTGCAACAATCACAAAAAAACTCCGCATTTTTCTGGAAGGACTGATATACAGTATGCAGTAAGTTGATACAGATTTTGTCTGTGTGCCAGGTGTGATCCTGTACATCTTGTTGGTGGGCTACCCTCCCTTTTGGGATGAGGATCAACACAAACTGTACCAACAAATCAAGGCCGGTGCATATGACGTGAGTGCTTCTATCTCATATTCTTAGTTCTTCTACATCTGTGTGTGTGAGCTATCTATGTATGTTGTTTGTGTGCAGAAGTTCAGTGTAATTTGCTTGGAAACATTTAACATGGCTTGACCATGATATAGAATAAATCTTAACAGTTACATTGTGCAACGCTAATGCCAAGCAAGCTTACCATGCCTTGGTAAGTGGACTGAGAATATATCTGACTGCATGCTTATTTACTAGTCAACTACATGAACTAGACAAAACTGTTTGTTATTGTTCACACTTCTCTGGGAGTAACACCCACAGTCTCTGCCTTGGGTGTGCAGTGTTGTTGTCATGGCAGGGGTTGCAGGCATCAAGCTTCACTCTTTAAACCCTTAGGGCCTTGTCTGATGAATTATGTTTAATGTATTGTAATTCTAGCTCTGTAACTCTGTTAGACTGCCACATCAGATGCTGAACACCCAGTATTTTCAAATATATATATATATATATATATGAAGTTGATGAGGCGAAAGTGTAGGCACGTTTATTAGCTTATTTACACATTCAGCAAACACATAGCAACATTGACATTGATGTGGAGTCACCTGACAATTAGAAGTCTAATATTCACCCTTCCTTTTAGCTCTGTTTTAGGTCTCCACCAACTGCTGAGGAATATATTTTGGCTATATAGTTATTAAAAGCTCCACTATGTTCAACTGCCAGTCCCTGACTTTGTCTGTCTGACATTTGGTGCTGAGCAGATATTATACATAGAGTTTTCTGCTGAAAACTGCTGCCTGCTGCGGCTGAAAAAAAATGCTGATGAAGGCAGTGAGAGTGAACTGCAGAAGTAAAGTTTCAGGCCTTAAAACCCCCCAAAAAAGAGGTGAAAGAGACTATAGTGAGGTCCAGAGTCCAGTGAGGGTTTTTCGCTACAAGCAACCCCTGTTACATTAAACAGTGAGGTGTTGGAATTACCTGTAACCTACCTCACATAGTAAATTCAGTAAAATATTTATACTATCAAACAGAAATTACTTTTGTCATACTTCAATTAATTCTAGCCATTTCTTATTTTCCACACTCCTGATCGATGTTAAGCTGCCGTCAACAAAACCATACACTTCCTAATTTTTTTTTCCCACATTAAAATCTGCCCTGTAAAAGAAGGGCTGCAAGACTGTAGGGTAGCTAAAGTTTATTTGGTGAAAAGGGCAAAGTGAAACATCTGACGTGACTCCTGCTGTACTGGGAAATTAGAAATAAAGGCCTGTTTCCCTCTGCCACAGAGGTAAATTAAAGCCACTATTTGAGAATTTATTTTGATCCATTATAAATATAGATTAGTGCAGCTTTAATAAGTGCCCTTCTTTTATGGAGCTCATATTTGCGGGCTTGTCCCATTTTGGCCGACTGAGTGTGTATTCTTTCAGCGGATGAAGATGAGAGTTAAGGTCCGTAGAGTCTGTTAGAAAGCTCCATCTGTGTTCATGAAACTTGAATTCTAATACATAATCTTATCATAATTTATGTGAATTATAAAAACAAGCACAGAGCCTGGAGATGAGCCCTACAGGACACCTTCAGTTCAAGTCTCGTCAAATAACACACTCTGAATGCTGTTGTGCAAGTAATTTAGAAATTTAATTTTAGTTTTTAATTGCTTGCTACTTGTTATTGCATGATTTTCCTCTTGCTGTAGAAAAAAGCGATACACTATGAAAGAGCAATAGGCTTATTTATCAGATCTTGTCATCGTCCTCTGGGACATAGGAATTTATTACCCGTATTAATTTCCATAATTGGAAGCAACCACATCTAATAAATGTGCATAATATGAGCATTGATACGAAGTGACTGTGACAAGCACTTGTAATAATCTGCACTATCCTGCAGATACCTAGAATTTCATTTATTTTCTTTCTGTGAGTAATTGAATACTGCCACTTTAATGTTCGAAGTAAATGTGTCTTGACAACTTACTTTAATTTTTAGTAGTAAACTTGTTTGCAGGAGAGAAGAAAGAAGAAACTACGCTAACTTTGAAAACTCTACCTGTCACTACTGAAGAACTTTGAGCATTGTTTTACTCACCACAGTTACAAAGTTGCTCAGCTTTTTCCTTTTTTCAAATTGTGTCATACTATTGAAATGATTGAATTATGATAAAAAATAAAGTACTTTTTAGCACAACATGAGCTGCAGTTTCCATTGAGCTGCAATTGCAGTCTGCATGTATTCAGCGTCTAGTTTACCAATTTTTTAAAAACTTCGTAAGTGCATTAGGAACCATTAAATATGTGAAGCAAAAAGGAGACGAAGTGATATAACAGACAAATCAAAGATGCAGAAAAACTATTTATAAGGGATTCACGATGGAGAGCATGATAGAGAGCGGCAGTGCCAGTTGGTTTCTGCCTGTAGTGGTTTTGCAGTTCATTAATGGCTCAAATTCAAGTTTAATGAACACAAACCCAAACTCCCCATTCACTATGCATTGTGTTACAGTAATCAGATATTGTGTTGATAAATAAAAAAACAAATTGCTTTATTATTGTCTCTAATAATACATTTTGTGTTATCTACAAGTCTATATGTAATGCATGTTTCTTTTCATCAGTACAACCTTCTTTGTAGCCTGTGTAAATCCTTTTTGGACTATGTTTATATTTGGTCTTCAAATGCAGAGAGTTTTCCCTGTAAAACTGACAGTCACAAATTGGGGGAAATTCAGCGGAATACATAACATATTAACAAGTTAAGATGAAACCCAGACTGCGACTCCAGCCTGTTGCATCTGTTTCATAAATGCATATTTGGGGTATAATGCGTCACATCTGCAGCTGAAAAACAGCACAAAATCCTTACTAACTCAAACTGGTCCAGACACATTTGCCTTCTGCCTTCAAGGAGATGTTATCGCAACTGTTTTTTTTGTTAAATTAATTTAGAAGTATATATGAGTGCATATGCAAGTGTTAAGCCAGTTGTTATGTGATGAAATATTCAATGAAAGATTAATAACGGTGATACACATTCTTAGGATGTATTCCTCTTTATCTCCCTTTTTCAGTTTCCTTCTCCAGAGTGGGACACAGTGACCCCTGAGGCCAAGAATCTGATCAATCAGATGTTAACCATTAACCCTGCCAAAAGGATCACTGCCGACCAGGCCATCAAGCATCCCTGGGTCTGCGTAAGTAACATTTATCGTCTTCTTTGGTTTCCATCTGAAAATAAATCTTTCTGGCATGTTAAAATACTTGATGTCACAATTTTACTCTTTCTACCTTATTAAGCAGTCATGGACTCAATTTAAGAATACCTTTGCAGGACAACATTATTGAGAGCTCAGTGAAACTAACCTATTCAAAGCTCTCAGTTCATTTGTTTCTCACTTTCTCAAGACTACATATAAGAGCTTTAGACAGCACTAAATGTATAAGAGAGCACCATGACCACAGAAATATGTTGCTGATGATATCCTCAATGTTACTATAAAAGTGGGTATAAAAGCTGGCTCATGAAATTATGGTTTATATTATGGTCATAAATACTACAGTACCCATGAGCGTTTTGGTCGATTGAAACCACTGGAATAAATCAGAGCTGTAGGGAATTTAAAGTGGTTAATTGTTGCAATTGTAAACAAAGAATGACACCATAGATGTCAAACTTATCCCAAATTGTGATTAGATGTTCCTTACCAAAATGCACTGCAATGCATTCAGGCAGGCCACGAAGTCAAGCTCAGCTCACAATCCCAGCTACATCAGCTCATCGCAGGTGATCGTAAACACAAGTATCCAATTTGCAAATATCATTCAGGGCGCCTTATTTAAGCTGCTTTAGCCTGCCTAACCTGACTGCTTCCTCTGCAAACTGCAGGTATCCATATCAGCAGTACCAGCTGCAGTTGCTAAATGCTAACATTGAAGGTCCCACTGGTGAAAAGTGCAAAAAAGCAACAAAAATTATTATTTAAATTAGGTGGTCATGGTATAGACACAAGTATATTCTACTTGGAGGCATCCTAAAAAAGAAAATATTGCACTTGGTTGAAGCAACAGGACCCAGAGTTATCTATAATGTTGTTTTCTCTTCCCTGCATACAGCAACGGTCCACTGTGGCCTCAATGATGCACCGCCAAGAGACTGTGGAGTGTCTGCGCAAGTTCAACGCCAGGAGAAAACTTAAAGTGAGCATGGACACAGTCACACACAAACACACACACACACATACACACACGCACACACGTAACATTAATTCATAATGTTAATTTTTGTGTCTCTCTAGGGAGCTATCCTCACAACGATGCTGGTGTCCAGGAACTTTTCAGGTGAGCTTTGGCAGTGATACCAATCACACATCAAGACAATGATTTGATTTGGCCCATAAACTTCAAATGGGGCCCAGTGCTGTTGATAATACATACTTGAATGAAGCCATATGAAGAAGCACCGGGATTTAGAGAAACAGTGCAGTTTTGTGATTAAAAAAACAATTCTGAGTTGTTACAATGTCTAATAATAATGAAATTTCAGTTTTAAGTTGTTGACACTTTATACGTGACCACTTTTTTCCTGATGTGATATCTAATATAGGCCAAATGATGCTACTTTACTTCCTGTCTGCGATCTATTTTTTCTTTGCTCGAATCTAGTTCTCTAAATCGCACATTTTTATTCTTGTTCACATTTGCTTGTCAGCTTTGTCGACAGTTTTGATTTAGCACTTCAGAGGTTTGGCTTGGATTTCCTCCTCGTAAGCAGTTTGATCACAGAACCCATAGAGCACTTTTGATTAAACATCCAATTTGTGGGCAAGCCTATGGCTGAGCAAGCTAATGCATTAAGGCTGTTGGCCTTCTGTTTATATGACTTCATGTAAGTAAAGCAGCTCCTGTGGATTACAGCAAACTACTTTCTACTGGTCAAGATTGATCTGAAGAAAGCATGTGTGCCAGACCTCTAAATTGCTTTATACATAACTGTAGACATATTTATCAAATTAATGTCCATGGGAATAAGAATAATAATTCCAGGGCGCAGGTATTTTGGTGCTGCGAAGATTTCCTGTCTGCTGCTTCACTTCATCCTGATAAAAAAAGGAGTTAGGTATCAGAGAAACACACTTTCTGGAAACCCGTGTTTTGTCATTCTTGTCTAATACTCTGAAGTTGATTAAACTTGAAGAAATCTAGACAGTTAAAAGGCTGTCAGGCTTTAGCGCGGCTCTTGTCCCACCTGTGCCTCCACATTGAATCCCTCTCTGTCCAATAGTGGGACGGCAGCATACCAGCCCTGCCGCTACTACCAGCACGGCCTCAATGGCACAGGAAGGTACGTCTGCTCGAGGGGGTGTTGGAGTCGGGCACTGCCAACTTCGTACTCAGGCTATTGGCATGTAGCCTGGGCTGCTTGAACCCCTCCACCTGCTGCCTGCTGCTACCGCACACTGATGGACCACTTTTGAATGGTCTTCATTGCACTGGGGCATCTTACACACACACCAACACACAAACATGTAAATGGAAACCACAAATGAAACTCAGCTCTTGACCTTTCAGTGCTGCTGCGTGTGCCGATGCTCTAACGAACAGAGCTCCTGTCCAGGACTGGCTATTTAATTTCCTGTGTCGAACACAACAGCCATTTAACTGACACCCAGCATGACCCTCTGACCTCCTTCCAACTACCGCAGCTGCCACCTAACAGAGCTGTTTACACATCTCTGCATTAACTCAACCGATGTAGGCTGCATATATTCTTCTCTGCAGCATAATCACTTAAATCTTTCATGTCACAAATATAAATAGACACGCCAGCATTCAACGTCCACAACAATCCCCGTTTTGCCTCCTTTGAATTGGTTTGTATTCACAGTAGTCGGCTGATGCCCAGTCGATGCCTGTCTGTCCTCGCTGCAACCTTCCCTCCGCATGGCTCTGGCCCTAACAGCCAGCCAAGCATGTCGTGTATGAGCGCACAGTACAGTACAGTATGCCAACCTGCATGGGAAGCTGCATAAACAGAATGCACAGTGTCGTGTATTATCTATATTTCTTTATCTTCTCTCTCCTGCCTGCTCCGTTGTTTTTGTGTGAACAGACAAAACCACAAGAAACCTGAAGGCGTCAGTATGCTTCAAACTAAAAGTAGAAATAAACAGAATTTTTATCATTTTCTGAATGCTTTTATTAACTTGATTATGAGACCAATGTATTTTTTGCTGGTGGCCTTCATAGGGTCATCATCATACAACACATTGAAATATTTTTATATATAGACAGTTTATACAAGTTCCACACTTAATGTTTCTTTGAATGTCTATCCAATTTAATTCAATACATTATTCATCCCTCAAGGGACAAGTTAAGGCAAGTGAGTGTGCAAACATAGGTATACATAGATAATTCATTTACACACATAAAAAACTGATCTAAAAATACAAATATGATATATGTTAGAACACATATGCAAGGAATAAGATAAGTGAAAAGTGCAGGTGTATTAATAGTCTATACAAAAAGTAAACTGACCTTACTGTGACTAGTTTCTAGTGGCGTTTGGAATAAAACCAAACTTCCTTCTACTTGTTTTACATACAGGCAATCTAAAACACATTCCTGATAGCAACAGCTTAAAGTCGTCAAAGAGGACATGTGTGGGGTTGTTGATAATCTTTTTTGTTCAGTATGAAGCTGTACAAGGGATCTTTGTGTTTATCAATAATCTTAGAGCTGACGTTAAGAACACCTTGCAGTCGGTTCTTGTTCTTTTGACAAAGCAATGTAAATCACCAAATGAAATGGTTAAAACAAGTTTATGCTTATGCTTCTGAGTGTCCATACATGTGCTTCTTTATCGCCATTTGTATGATTCATCGCGTGTCGTTCCTCTTTATGACAAAAAGCTTTTAGCAGTTGCTATGAAGCATACTGAACCCTTTACAGATCAGTCACATGACAAGGCGAGCCGCTTGCCTTTCATACAGGAATTATGTTTTGATCAACAAGTAGATGCCGATAAGTTGTTAATAAAGGATTTGTCTGTATGCTTCATTATGATTGTTAAATTTCTTCACTTACTGAATAAGATTGTTACACACAATGTAGAAGTAAAGAATTGGGTTTTGATGTACTGAACTTAAAGGTTTCTGCCCAGTCTCATGAATGTTGGAAATGCACTCCTCAGCACTTTCTAAGATAAAGACTTTGAAGTGGATGCTGCATGCCAGACATGTTTATAACCCACTGTCATCGCATGAACCCACCACCTCCTGTGAAAATGATTAAAGAATGCCTTTTGACATACAGTACAGCCTGACAGGTGTTTGTGCCTGCAGTTTTCAGTTCAGATGTATGTAAAGATGCAGATATTAAATACATTACTGTTTTCTTGCCTTCTTCATTGCCCTCCTTCCTACTTTATAAATGGAAGGTAAGGGAGGATCATTGGAACATGACTAACACAAATATGAGTGTTTATACACTAAGACTGTGTGTGTGTTTAACTGTGTTTGTGTGCATGTATGTGGACATTTTTATTGAGTTTCCTGTTAGCTGTGTGTTTTGGTGTCATTTCTATCTGTGTGGTCAGGTCTTCAGATGCATGCCTAGATGTTATGTCACTGTGGCTAGAAGGCTAACAGACAGTTTCACTTAACATGAACTGGTTGGAAAACAGTAGGTGGTGTTTAACCACCTGCAGGGACAGTCAACTATGGGAAATGTCAAAAGTTAGAATTTTTGTCTTCTTTTTTCTACTCGGCACTTTTCACAAAATCGTTCCAGTATTTAGATGATAATTGTGAAAAGTAACAGCGTGCACAGCTCCAAAACTATAACAGTGTATTGGGTGCACGATTGTAATAAGGGACTCGTCAAACAGAATCCTGGCACTAAGAGATAAATATCTTCTTGTTTATTGAGGGAGAAAAAAACCCAGACAGCATGACGCTTACACTGACAATGGCTTAGAGCTTGAACATGTTAGTTTTTGGCTCTTATTTTGTCCTCAATAAACAAGAAGAGTGCCTGGATCCTTTTTGTTTTGTCAGTGTTACATTTTCCTTGGTAATATCAATTGATTATAGCAAGGAACTCAGAACATCAGGTTGTTTTAGCACCTTGTGGATTCAGAAACTCATTCACTCATTCAGTTCAGTCATTTAGTTAATTCATTCATCCATTCATATTTGCTCCCTGGAGGCCTTCAGGAGGAACACTGAACCAGGATCAATTCATCACTTACAGTATTAGTTGTACTGCTTAACTGTGTTGTGCACTAAATGACACCATGCTGAAACTTATTTTAGTGTCAATTTTTTTGTTTTACCTGCTTTTAATTGTATATTATTTTAACTATCACATAATTTTACCTTACTATCTCTATAGTTTTTACTTAATATCAAAGTCAAACATTTGATCCTGTACTTAACATTTTTGATTTGATCATGTCAGCTTTTTTCTTTTCATGGTGGAAATGGGCTTCAATACAAGCATCAACTATGTCCCAGAAGGACCTTGTGGGAGTTAAGAGTTATTAGACTCAACAAATTCACCAAGAGTATATTTAGACAAAAGAATATTGTGAAAAAGGGTAAAAAAATCTGTGTTTTGTTTCCGAATTTTAATCAGTTTTTTTTCCCATTTTCCAAGTTGACTTTTCATTTTCAGTTTGCTATTTCTGTATCATCAATATCAAATTATGTTTGGAAACATTTGATATTGGGCCGATTATCCCCAGTAAAAGAATGCATTTGAGTGGATTATCCCTCATACAGAAATTCTACTCTTAGAAATATTAATGTGAAATCAGGTGGACACTTCTACAGGCCTGATAATGACTTTTTATTGGACCATCTTTCTCTTTAATTTGTCCTGTTAGCTAAGTGATTTCAACCATCTTTTCTGTCTTTCTTTCAGCATGCAAAACCTTACTAAACAAAAAGTCGGATGGAGTGAAGGTAAGTTCTCTGACCCATGAGGGTTTTATTGAATTTAATGTTTCTGTCTTACTTACTTTTCCTATCTTTTATTGTCTCCCTTTCGGTCTGTCACTCTGACTACTCTCTACTAACATGTGTCTTTGATATTATGAGCATATGGAAAAGCAATATGTTCTTTTAGTTGGATTACCTTTGTGCTCTGGTGCTCTTTTGTTTTTATTGTTTTTTTTGTAAGGTCTATTAACTTTTTGTTGCTAAGGGAAAAGGAGTTATCTTAAAAATCATGTTTGAGTCAGCAGTTAAATTATGGGCCACAGGTAATACAGATCTGAAATGAAAATAAAAATAAAGACCAATAGGCCTTTAAAATGCTGTTTGTTTTTTTACAACCAGGTTTTTGTTGATTCACAGCAGTTCGAGCTACCATCATGTCTTGGTGCTCATTTAGTTTTGATCGACTGTCAGTGTCAATGCATGCAGTGAAGCGCCATGATCAACAAGGGCCAAAATAAAATTCCCATTACAAAAAGTAACGTTAACAATATTAAACCCAACATTAAACAAATAAACTGCACAACTCCCTGTATTTTTTTTCTTCTGAAGTCCTCTAAGTATCCCTTTGTCTCATCATTGTTCCTGTGTAAGCTTGTGCAGCTGTTTTGTTTTTCTCTCTTTCTGGGATCAATCTGGCAGCTTCACTTTTTTAGTATTTTTGATTAGCTCCTTGTTTCCCGATGACCCCTTATTTTTTTCCTCCTCCTTTCCATTGCTGTCTGTCAGAAAAGGAAGTCCAGCTCAAGTGTTTGTTTGATGGTGAGATCGGCTCTGTCGTTTTCGTTCATTTTTCATTCTTTGTCTCTCTTTGTAACTAGAGTCTCCCCCCCCTTCCGGATCCTCCCCTCCCTCCTCTCTGCTGTTTCATTTATTTGCTTGTTTTCTTTTGGGCAGTGATGCAGGCGTCGTATATAACAGTTTTCGTCTTGTCCGATTTCTGTCCATCCAGCATCCCTGCATCCCCTTCTGCCATTAATGCCACCAAAACCATTTCAACTCCTGACAGATAAAACACACACACACACACACACTCACCCTTTCCAGTTATCCTCTTTCGACCCATCTGTGTCTGGACAATATCAGGCATTTTGGCTTACTTACCAACATCCCTGACCATCACAGGAGTGGGGAACATATTAATCATCAATATACAATCATTTCCCCTTTTTTTATTTTTGTATATTTATTGTACCCTCATTATTTTTCATTTGAGGTTTTTTCCCCTCTTACTGTAAATTAAACAGCTGTCTTGGTCACCTGCAGATAATCACCCCCATTCAACTAGACTGTTCAGACCTGATAGATTGAGGATATTACACTGCACATCAGAAGTGGTGTATATAAAGTAATTAAGTAAAAATATATTGACATTTTAAGATATTAGTATTTCTGTAGGTTGCTCTCTTGATCTTTTTGATTAGCTTCTTTTTAGGCTTTGTCAAAAAAAAATTTTTACCCACTAACAAACTTGCTAAAAATATAATGTAGGGCTGGGTATATCATACAGTAGTTTCAGTACTGACACCAAAAGGGTACTTTTTTAAAATATCTTTCTGAGAAATAGAAACAGTTTTTTTCTATACAACCATTTGTGTCATTCAACAAAAGAAACCAAACCTCTCAAATGTCACAGAGACCACCAGAATACTTTTTTAAAGTCATACTGGGGTATTCGAGTTGTAGAAAACGGCTGAAAAACCTCCCTGCACTTTGCTCTTAAACTTTTATTGACATAATCCCTTCATCCACACCTCTTAACTTTCTTGTTGGAATACTGATTTGCATTCAGGAAGCGTCTCTTTTCCTCTGGTTACCCCGAGGCTGAAGGGAGAGTCCAGCTCAAACTGTTTTCTGGTTCACATCACACATTCCATCTCTAATCAGTAGTTATAATCTATACCTTTGTTATGCAGCCGAACTGTTCTGGCTTCCAACATAACAGGACCAAAGTAAGTGTTTGAGTTTAGTATGACGAGACAGTGGACGGATAAAATACATAATGATAACAATTGAAACAGAAGAGGATGAAATATGACTTTTTGAAATATGGATTAAGTTCCAAAAACACTAGAGCCTACATTTCCCATAATGCAACCATCTTTTTGTCAGTCCCTCTCTGCCTGGTATGCCTATGTTTTTTCAAACTCTGCACCCCTAGTTTGCAACACAGACTTCCTGTTGAAAATTTGTAGTCTAATCCCAAAATGAGAAACCCTGATACATCACTTTGACATCATCTGGGTTATTTTTTTCAAACTCGAAAATAAAGGCATTATACAACTACAGGGACTGTTATTTCACATAAGAACCACCTTGAAACCACAATTTGCTTAAAATGTCTTGATATGTATCTTAAGTAAGTTAACATTTAATCGAGATTTTGATTGAACTAATTGTTCTAAACAATAGGGTGAACTAAGCAGTTGAAGTAATGCTAAAGTAGTTTTGTGGGTCAAATAGTATTGTCTTGAAGTTGACTTTGCTCAAGCTAAAGGAGGAAACAACAAACAGTCCATACCTTCATGCACGCACACACACTGTTCTCCCCGATTAGAAGAAATCGTGTCATCAAGGCCTTTCACTGCATGCACAGACCTGGACTGGTAATCATTATAATTAACTTATTTTCTGACTCGGTTACACATATTTTGGCTGTGTTGCTGCCAGAAATGGGCCACTAATTGCTGGCGCTTGTGTTAGATACAAACTTGTGATTTCTCTTTGTATCCCAGCAGATGTTGATTTATCTTATCTGTAAAAGTGCTGGGAAAATACTCCAAATCAAAATCAATCCAATATGTTCATTGTTTTAAAATGCATTGCTGACTAACTCTTTTTTTTTATGTTTAAAGTTGTAGGTATTAAATGCAGTTATACACCAGGACACTAGACTCAAAGAGCCCTTCAGTCACTCAGTACACAACTTTATAATAGAAGTTGAAAGTTCTAATTGCAGTTAAACAATTAGTTAGGGAGTCAGTGCACTCACGTTGTTTCAGAAGAACACTTGTTTCTACAATCTGATGATCAAAAAAAGGGTTGTGTTACAGATTAGCATGTGCACAACACACCTACAGGAGAATAAAACAACAACTGCCCTTTAAAATGCACAAGGCAGCAAGGTTCAGATGATTGATGTAGATATTCAGATAAATCAGTTTAGCACTGAACCAGACTGTGCACTTACTAAATCACTATATGTGGAATATTTGTATTGGCTCTGTTCCTGTTTTCCACCTCAGATTCCCATTGGGTGGTTTATGGTTTAGACCCAGTGGGAGCAGTGAGAGTCATTCTGTGTTGTGTTTCTTTGCCCCAGTCGCAGGGAAACAACAGTAAAAACAGTGTAGTAAGCAGCAGCAGCACCAAAGACAGCAGCATGTCATCTTCAGCACCAATGGTACCTCATCTCTATTTGGTTTCTCTCACGTTGCTTTTTATGGCATCATTTCATCGTTCCCATCTTTTTAATGTTTAGTTCTGTCTCCTCGTCTTTTTGTCACATCCCATGTTAAGTGAAATCTTCTCTGTACTTTGTCCTCTTTCTCGTCCTTCATCCTCTGCCTCTTTGCTTCTGTTTTGAACACAAACTGTGATGTTGGCAGTGGATTTTGACGATTTAAAAAGAAAAATGTACTTCTTGTTCCTGCCTTTGAGTGTCTCTCCCAGCTTGCGTTTTACCCAGACCTCCTGTGGACACACTCGTGTATATATATTTACACCGTGCACAACACTGACAGGTAGACAAATGACTTTCATTTTGCAGTACAAGAGCAGACACTTCAAGTTCTGCTCAGCCACATCGTGATGACTTCTCTGTGTGTTCAACTGTGTCACCTGAGCTTTGTTGATGGTTTGTCTTTGAAGAAAAACACAGAAAGCAAAGCTAAAAAACAAAACTTGAACTTCTACTACATCAAAAGAAGGCCTTTTACAAATTGCTCTTCGATATGTGAATTTTTTAAATGATGAGGACATCTGGGTAAAACAGAAGCAGGAGTGGATGGGAAACAGAGAGATCATAACTGTATGAGGATGCAGCCCCTGTGTTCATACACGTAATGGGATTGAGCCATAATTATGGCAAGAAAAGTGCTAGAAATCATTATATCAAAATCTTGCTCTTACAGCTACGTACAGAATTTCATGGCTAAATCTATAAAAATGATTGGATGGCTGTTAATCCAGTCTGATACAATGGCCATGAAATTACTAAATATATATAAATATAATAGTTCAAACAACCTGTAAAACCACAATGTGACATTTTTATACTTATTTTTTTGTACAGATTACACAAAAGGGACAACATGGGTTAATCAGTGACTTTAAGACATGCTGGTCTAAATATTTTGTTCCCTTTTGACAGAGCCAGGCAAGCTGTTCCCTTGTCTTCAGACTTCGTGCTAAGCTATGCTAACTGGCTGCTGGCGATAGCTTAAGATTTACCACACACACATGAGTCAGTATTGATCTTCTCATCTCACTCTGTGCAAGAAATTATATACCTTATTTCTAAATAATGCCAGGGCTGAATTCTGTATACCAATAAATGCTAGTAAGCTGGATGCCACAATAGCAAAATTGAGAACACTGAGGCAAAGCATTGAGCTAAAGCTTGTTTTCCCTCAGACTGGTTAAGGATTTCCAGTCTAGATTCCATTTCTAGACAATCCCATATGTCATTTAAGGGGCTGCATGTTCTAAGGTTGTAGTTCCTGGATGTTGGGTCCACTGTTGATCAGGTGGGTTTGTTTTCCCAACAGTGCAGTACTTGGAGTGCTTGAATTGCTTTGTGCTAAATGTTTCTGTGGCAGGGTCAAGACTGAGGATGAGGAGTGGTTACAACACACAATCACTGTGCTTAATGCAGCATTCACGCCATATAGCTTGTGATGGGAAAGATTCACATGGTCATAACTCTGAAGTGTACAGGGCATCAGACAACTCAACTACTGATGTAATGTACGCACTGAATAAAGTAATCTAGCGTTGAGATAGTATGATACGCCATGTTGAGGTAAGACCTAGTGTGCCTTTACAAGCTTAGATTTTGAATGTGCTTATAGCAAAACTATTCATTTTACCTCATACCAAGTGGTGCCAGAACAAAATTTTTGATTCTTCATATACTGACTTTAAATTGATTTACCTTAAATGAGGGACTGATAATAACCTCTGCTAAAGTGAGAACAGTTGATGAACTGAGATAAAGGCCTTTATCAGTCCTGACAATGATTGCTTATTTTTTAGGAGAGGGAAGATCACTCTCATCACTCTTGCGGTGCTCTTATGACGGCACAAGTTATTGTAATGTGATGTATGTAATTCCATATTCCAAAAATACTCCAAAATGTTTTTAGAGTGCTTGCTACCTTACAGTCGTTCTTGAATGCATCAGTGTTTTTTCAGATATTTCTCCCATCTGTCACTTCACCTTGGATATTGAAGCAAACTACTTTTATAAAGTTATGCAATAAATTCCAGGTGACACAAAAATGAAAGAACTCACCCTTACCTGCACATACAATCACTCACAGAGCCCTCCTCCTCAGTCATGGCCCTGTATGTGTGTTTTCACACATTTTGGAGGCTCTAAAATGATCCTGTAGGCCACAGTGCTGGTGAATGGGGAGCTGACTGACACTGAGAGCCTTCACATCTTCAGTTATATATTTGAATCACCATAAATGCTCCACAGCCTTTGTACTGTAGCTCCTGTGCTTTTGTTTTGGTGCGCGCACATGTGTCTGTTTTGTATGTTTGTCGTCATGGAATAAGTTGGTATTCCCTGGCATCTTCTCTGGTGCCCCCTCCCCCTCCGCCCCACCCATCCCCTTCCTGCATGGTAAAGTGTCTCCTACCTCCCCCCAGGAAGCCCAGACAACTGTTGTACACAACCCAGCTGACGGCACCAAGGTAAGCCCCTCCTTCTCCCACCAATAGCCACCAGCCACTACTAACACTCGCAGGTAACTCGTGGAGGATTTTCTCTAAATATATTCCATACATCGCTGTCAAAACAACTGTAACTACTCTCTACGCTTCATTGTGCACCTAATGTGAGCTGGCTTCTGTCGCCATGTTTCATTATGTTCCTTCCTGATTACCAGAAGGGATTTCACCGGAGAGTTGAATCCTATGAACTTCCCAAATCCCGAAGCAGATCAGTTCAGCTCCTGCTTGTAGTGAAGGTGCACCATTATGGAGCCACCAGAATAAAGTTTAGAGCTTCAGTGTTTTATTATAATCAATAAATGAATACGTTTAAAAATACATTCAACTTTTTTACTGATTTTGACTCACTGGGCTGTTTGTCTCGCCTTTACCAACTTTAGTCAGACAAACTGCGACATTCTGCTTGATTAATTACTGTATGACCTGTATGTGTATGTATTGGATGGATAAGGACGCATCTCATCACGTTATTAGTGTTCGGTACAAGATGATGTTTAAACAGTCGCTTTGTTCATTAAATACGTGGCCTTTGTTGTGTGACGTAACACCATTGCTTGTTTTCTCTGAAGCTTCAAAAGCTAAATATTAGTTTTGATAAAAATGTAATTTCTTCTGATTTTAGGCACTCCTTAGGAAATTGATTATGATTAAACACTGTAAAATTACATAACTATTCTGGTCGTATCCTTCAGGATCCATACAGCATCAAAGCTAATTTTCAAATTTATATAAAAGAGAAAATCCCACACGTACTGTCTCTAACAGCGGCACACTGACAAATATAACTTCAAAATTTCATCAGACTTTCTACTAAAATAGGAACCAACTGTCATGCTGCTTGTGCTGTTATGTTGGTGTACAAGCTTGCAAAATACTAGATCACTAGATATTCAAATGCTAGTGCTGTTACACAGTTTTCTTTACATTGACACTTTTCTCACTAACACTTGCTGCACTGGCTTCCTCTGGAGGAGCAGTTGCACACTAACATGCACACTCACACTTCTTCCTGTTAAATCCGGTCACATGACTTCAAATTCCTCACACACCTTGTTGCTCTGATATGTGTGGCTCTCTGCGCTGCTGTCCTGGCTGGTTTGTGCTCCTGGGAGGGAGTCGTCCAATCGTCCATCTGTCTGTCGTGTTATCTGTGTGTTCATATGGACAAAGTGACCAAAGCTTCCCAACCCTGTCTCTCTTACACATAAAAAAAATGATTTGTCTTGCTATTTCTCTTTTCTCCCTTTATCCATCTGTCTCTCTTTTCACCCATTCCTCTTTTTTCTCTCTTTCTATCCCTCTCTTTGTCTCCTCTCTGTCTGACAGGGCTCCACAGAGAGCTGTAATAACACAGAAGAGGAGGAGATGAAAGGTAGGAAAGGTACTTGTCCAACTTTCACCTACTCTGCATGTCTGTTTTGCTCCCTTTACATCTTGTCCAGGTTTTGTCACTCTGTTAGAGAACTATTATAATACATTTCATGCTGTATTTTTCACTTTATATTAGGAGTAATACAGATTTCACTCTCGCTTCAGACAGGGTAGTGGAGGCTTGAAGATCCAGTAAGTTTAGTAGTGACAGGTGACAGATGTCTTTGAGTATCATAGGAAAGACAAAAGTGACACAAAATCTTTTTTTGCTGTTGTCTCCATTTACGCCCCCCATACAAACTGATGACATGGTGGTGTAGAGCTTCGTAATCAAACAGCTACTTTGTCTGTCCTGTTCAAACGCTCCAGAGCAAAAGCTCTTTCTACTCAATCATTATAAGTTGCTCTGGTTCTCACTAACATGTCAGTTCATAGGAAAAAGCTTTTTCCACCAAAAGTGTGTATGTATCTGGTTCTATTGGGTAGAGCTGGGTGATACTTCATTATCATCCATCGATTTTCAGAGAAATTTATATTCAGTTGTCCAAATTGATGATCCCATGCAGCAAACTCTAGGGCGAGCATTGTTTTTTAAATGGGATAAACATTTGCTAACTGTGCTAACACAGTTCATTCATTTTAATTAGGTTCTTTTGTATTCATTGATTAGCAGAGCTGAAACTATTATTTGGTTAATCAATTAGTTGATTGACAGAAATAGTGAATCTGTGTCCAGCTTCTTAAAGGACCAGTGCATAGGATTTAATGGGATCTAGCAGTGAAGTTGCAGATTGCAAATAACTGAACACCACTCGTGTTGGTATTTGAAGAGGGAATGAGAACGGTCTGTGAAGCGTGTAGGAGAAACTACAAAACAATAAAAACGTGCAATACCCTGTAGAAATATGGCGATTGAACATGGCACTCTGTAGAAGAGAACCGTCTTCCTCTGTACATAAAATTGGCTCATTCTAAGATAACGATACCACAATTATCCTTGTTTCCATGTGATTATACACTAAAGAAATGATACCTCTGAATATTATATTCCATTTCTGCCAGTAGATCCTTCTAAATGTTATACACTGGACCTTTAAATTCAATTCTTTACTATGATAGCACAAATGAAAAAAGTAAAATAATGCAGCATGAAAAGTCTTTGTGATTGTTTGAATCAAACAGCCGAATGATAAAAGTATTTTTATGTAAAACCACCATCTAACCTTTACCCGTAGGCAAGGGGGTACATATGTGGGTACCTGAGCTTCATTTTGATTGCTGTTGTGCGTGAGTGTGTGCATGCTAGTGCCACACGCCGCTTAAGCCTTTAATTAGTCGTCTTCAGCTCGGTAATGACCCTTTTAATGTTTGCAGGTGAATGAAGTAGGACAGAGCTGCCTGCAGTTAATCCAGTTACTTAAGGCAGCTGTCTGTGGGTTTACCAGCACTCGATCTATAGTGGATGATCACTGACATGCAACCGAGAGGCTGTTCTGTGTCTTTTTCTGAAGTTGAATGCATTTATTTTAAGTAGCTTTGGATGAAAGCATCCGCTAAATGAATGTAATGTAATTTATCTTGTCGGCTCTGAAATAAAAAACTCACATACACTTTAACATGAAAATCACAAGCTCAACATATGTAAAGGCCTCTATGATGAAGCACAGGTTGGCATGCTGAAGTGACCAGAATGTCACATATTCTGCAACTGCATATCAATATTAAGTCTTGTAACTAACTTATAAACCCAGTTTTACCCCCACACTTTAAACTAAGCAATGTTTGAACTTGTGCATATCTGGTGCAGCAGGCTGCTGATCTCTATGTGGGCTTGATGATCGGCCATTAAGCCTCTTAAAGGTTATTCAGTTTTGAGCACAAGTGAGCTGAGAGGTTTGGCTCCGTGGGGTGGTTTGTGCAGCTTATTCGGTTCTTACGTTCTGATGTCTAAATCGGCTTGTGGTGTGTTGTGATTTGTGAGTTATAATACTAAATTCTAGAAAAATGTAGTTAGTTGATCAGTATGAAATGCTTGAAAAATGATTCATTGATTATTAAAATAGTTGCAGATACATTTTCTGTCGATTGGCTGATTCTTGATTCATGCTCTTGCAGTATTTTTTAGAATTTAACGGACTAAACAATCGATTCATTGAAAAAATAATTGATAGATTAATTTCTGAGTTTCTCTCAGGCTCCCTGTGAGTGTGCATCTGTTTGTATTTGTGTGTTTGTCTTGTGTTGGGGGCAGTGGCTGCCTGTGAGTCTGCTAGTGCTGACAGTGCAGTGTTCAGCCAGTGCAGCACTACTCAGGAACAGGCCCAGACCCCGTCTCCTCACTGCCCACTGCTCACCTGTAAGTCGGCTGCCCTCTACCTGATTCAACTCTCAGCTCTGACCTTTGTGTCCTGACCTTTCCTTTTCAACAACAAATCTACCCTACAAGCGAAAAAAGACGTTTTGTCATTAAAAAGGCTCCACATAAGTAAGACTTTCCTTTTCCACTCTTCCCACCAACTTGTGCACCTGCTCCCCTCTGCCCTCCTGTGCTGCCATCTACTGGCACCCAGGCCTGACTGCAAGCCACTGTTTCAAATGTTTATCTATAACTGAGTAACTGTTTTCTTATAATCACTGCTTGATATACTTTGTGCAGAAACAATGTTAAATAGTTATATTTAGCTTCTCAGCTTTGCTAAATATAACTTTATTTTACTGGGATGACTGTACCTACCTGCAGCTGGTCCACTGCAGGAGGCTGCTAGCAGCCCCACTGTCCTTCCAAGCAGTCCAACTCAGAGCTCCTGTCCTGAACCAGAGTCAGCTCTGTCGCCCCCCGCAGGCAGCAGCCACAAACTGCAGCAGAGTAAGTGCCAGGCAGGTTGTGAAGTGTGTGTGCAAAGGCTCTTGAAGCAGTGTTTATACCGTCTGTTCTAACTTTCTGCGCACTTGATGGCAGAGGGTTTGAGGACTTCGGGAAATAAACGGCCTATAAACACAAAGTTACATGCAGGTGTGGAGGATTTGTTGTTAGTTAAATAGTGAACAAAACACTTTCCGTGTGTGTGTTCATCTCTGCTGTTTATTCTCATCTCAGTCCAAACTGACTGTTCTGTATGTCTGCATGCAGTTTGTGCTTTTCTGGTGTGATGAACATTTCTTGAGTTTTATGTCCCTGAATTCTCTGGTGTATCTGAGTAATTACTTGCCTGGTCCCAAATAATTGGGAATTATAAATTAACTATATTGCAGTTGATTTTTATTTTTGGAGTTGAGTAAGTTCAGAGTTGTCTTAGTTGACCGTTTTGTTAGGGCATATTTTGAGCTGTGATATCTTGAAAATCTTTGCACTCAAATGAACCTAATTGAGCCGTTTCTCGCCATGCGTTACTGAGGGCTTCCTTCCAGGAAGCGTGTGGCAGAAAATTCACTCTTAGCAGTCTATGTCCTGTTTGTGATATTTTTTTAAGTAACTTGGTTAGTTGGAGGGTTTTCTGAACAGAAGGTTGGTTTTGACGTACGTATAGAAACGTGCTCTACTGATCAGTAGAGATGTTTATTAATGTTAAAGGTTGTTTTGCTGATATTTTTATTAAAACTGAATATTTCTAAGGAACACAAAGTCTTTATACAGACTATTATAATAATAATAATAATTCAAATATTATTATAAGTATAATGTTATTGATTGTGATGTTTGGTCTCATTTAAAACATTTTCAAGGTAAATATAGCGAGTAAATAGAAGTTGATAATGATATTATATTAGTAACAATGATTCAACCTGATTCAACGTGCCAAATCTTTATTATCGTTATTTTATTTTAAAAACAGGTTCATACTTTTTTTTTATTTAGTGCCCAAAGCAATTTACTGTTTGTTTTCTGGGTGAGACCCTAAAAGATCTTTGTTAAAGTTTCAGGTTTAGTGGCACGTGGACTATTGAGTGTTATGTACATACAGCATCAGATGCTCTTGATGCTGTGTTTAAAATGGAGGGTGGACAGTGTGGTGTGTTTTGTACAGGGTGACTTAAAATGTCACTTACCAGAGGCAATTCCTGTGTGACTTATTTCAAATGTCAGAGGTTTCAAGTAAGCTCAGGGAAAGCATGAGGAGCAGTATTCGTATGTTCAACTTCCAAATGATTTCTGACTGTCTTTAACCTCTTCGGGTTGTCTTCCCCCCCTTCCTCCCTCCCTCCCTGTCTGTCTGTTTCTCTGTGTTCAGCTCGTAAACAGGAGATAATAAAGATGACAGAGCAGTTGATTGAAGCCATCAACAATGGGGATTTCGAGGCTTACACGTAAGTTTGCAGCTTAAACAATAAACCTTTGTGTACAAGACATTATCTTTTAAGTACCTAGTTTTAAGCTAATTTTTTGCCTTGTTGAAAACATTTTGTCACTTGTAACACAAAGGAACTCTTAATTGATTTCCCCATGAAATCCATACATGACTGTAAAGTGCTTGTTTTTGGTCCAATGCATCACTAGGTAATATAAGAAAATTGCAATTGGTTCAGAATAAAGCAGCACACTCTTTCCACTGGGTTGAGAACAAATGTTTCTAAAATGCATGAGTACCTCTTTATTTAAATTGTGTCAGTTATTCTTTTACTTGCAATAGACATACATTACAGTGTGTTGTGTAAGTATATTGTGAGAAGCAATGTCAATGTGTATATGTATATATGGTACTGTCACCATGTAAACTGTGTGGACTCCAGGAAGAATAGCTGCTGTAATGCAAAAGCTAATGGGGATCTTAACAAACACACTTTTGTTAAGATCCCATTCTTCACTGCAGGATAAATTAAAGTTATATAAAGCTAAAGTTTATTTCTGGTTGTGTTTTCCTCGAACAGGAGAATCTGTGACCCTGGACTCACTTCCTTTGAACCAGAGGCTCTTGGAAACCTGGTGGAGGGCATGGACTTTCACAAGTTCTACTTTGAGAACCGTAAGTCACTCAGTGTTCTGTATACTTATAGTATTTGTCTATTTGTTTGTGTTAAGTCTTCATCAATTTACTGCAGTGCTTGTTCATCCTCTTTGGAGCAACACAATAATAGACCTTTTGTTGACAAGAGTTTAGTCTAGTTGTTTTTTTTTTGTCAAAGTAAAATGAATGTGTGTTCTGAAATCTACAATCATATACCTGGAGGACCGTGTGCACAAAACAGGAACCCGCTCTAGCTCTAAACTGCACCGGGTAACTTTAAATTATGTTTTTAGGCATGTAGATTTCTCTGTCTACAATAATTTACTATGTGTGAAACTGAAAAGTGACCAAGCAGATCATCCAGATAAAAGACAAAAAGATTTTATCTTTTTACCCCTCTGTGTGGGACTGCAATTAACGATTATTTGCATTATTGAGTTTAATATTATAGAAGACTAAGAAAAACAGCAGATATTCACATTTTGAGAATTTTGGGCATCTTTGCTTAAAAAAAATGACTTCAACTATCGTAACTTGTTCAAAGGGATGGGATGGGGCAGAATATACTTCTCCACCTCAATAGAACTTTAAGGTTCAAGTTGAGATTCAAGAGTTTCCAAACATAACTAATGTCGTACAAAATGATATGTGAGACATCTATGAAATTACCATTTATTAAAGTCAGTGTGACATGATCCATTTATAAAATCACTCACCTCTAAGTTATCTAACCATTTGCTCCTCAGGTCATTTGAAGCTGCCAACATGTTTTGCCTATGGCAGCTGTAATATGCTTAATGTTTTCAAATTTGGTTCCTTTGCTACTCACTGAAACCTGACCAATCCATTTACAAACAGCTTAACTGCACATTTCCATCCCCACAGTGCTGAGTAAAAACAGCAAGCCAGTACACACCACCATCCTCAATCCCCACGTCCATCTGATCGGCGAGGATGCCGCCTGCATCGCCTACATCCGCCTGACGCAGTACATTGACAGCCAGGGCCGACCACGCTCCTGCCAGTCGGAGGAGACCCGTGTGTGGCATCGCCGCGATGCCAAATGGCTCAATGTGCACTTCCACTGCTCAGGAGCACCGGCTGCACCCCTGCAGTGAGCTGAGTACGCAGGCCCAGGTAAGGTGATAACGCCTCACTATTATGACGGTCCGAAGGGTGCAGTAAAAGTTTTATGCTGGATGCATAAAATGATTATGGTCGACTGAGGGTTTTTACAGTGCAGGTAGCATGTAATGAATAGACAAACATCATGATTTTACTAGCTTCACATCATTTGAAATCTAAGTTAAGATTAATTAAGAAATTGAAGGATTTAGGGTTGTAAAAGACAAACATACTGATGGTTATATACTGTTCCCTTTAATTTATTTATGGAATTTATTTTGCAACACACTTCTTCTTGCTTTCTTCCCAAGAGTTAGATAAGGAGCTCAGTGTCACTCTCACGTCTGTGTGTTTAATATGGAGCTCGCCTGGCTCTGTCAGGTGAAAAAACACGCCTACAAGCATGTTTAATCAGTACACGGACAGAAACTGTGCTTACAGGACTGCAGGAAGTCACCGCTGCCAGTTCTCTCTTCAAGAAATAGTTGCAGCTTTGTTGTTCTTACACGTACCAACAACATTCAGTGTTAATTAGTGAGATTTAGAGGTGTGTTTTGGAACAGACAGAGCCAGGCTACTGTTTCCCCCTGCTTACAGTCTTTATGCTAAGCTAAGCACAGCACATCCAATACAACTACTGACACTGCTCCATTTGTTATGATTTTGTCTGCTGATTTTTCCCAAAGCAGTGCCTGCAGCTCTGTGATGTGAAATTATTCTTATATGACATTTTTGGGACTGAAACTGGAAAGCGGAACAACTTTCTTTATAACAGTTTGGTGGCATTGATTACGCCAGAGCTCACAAAAAACCCTTCCCTATGAACAGGTGACATTTATCAAATGAGCAATTTTCAGCATGCCTATATACCACAGGGGCATTGTGAGAATTTTTCTTTTCTAATTTAGGTACACTCCTTCTTAAAGACAGTTTGCACACTAATCGTTGTATCCTTCCTTCTGCAGCTTTGCCTGAACTCTAAAGCTGTTTGGAGCATTTATTCTCCGTGGTCGGATTGGTGCCTGGATCCTGGCCGGGAAGAGGCTGCTTGGAAAGTTGTACAAAACACAAAAGTGGGGAAAATACATTATAAATAAAAAAATAAACAAACAAACAAACAAAAAAGCATATTTCAAAAGCTTGACTGAATGACCGACCACACCAACCAACACCAATCCAGTCTAACCCTAGCTAGATGAGGTCGGGGCCCGGCTTTTGTCAGCCCCTTTCTTGCAGATGGTGCATGCTTCTAGTGGCGACACAGGGGTGATGCTGTCCTGGTCCTTTTTCTCCCATGGCCTTTATTTCCCTATCTTTGTTTTGTCTGCTGTCTGGAAAAGTATTAACATGTTCAAATATATATATATATGTAACAACAGAAAAACATGTACACTTAACACACATAGTGAATAGGACTGGGGCGGCGAGTATAGTGTGTGGAAAAATGTGATTTCTTCTTTGTTTTGTGTTGAGAGAGCAGCAGAAAGTCTACTTTAATAAAAGTTCTGTTTGGTTTAAAGTTAACAGGTATATTTGGGTGGGGTTTATGGGAACGAGAGCAACTAATATTTGCTTAATATCAGAATTTAACACCTATTTTATGTGTCAGGTTTGAGCATCTGTACACAATGTTTTAAAGGGGTTTAGGCATTGATACGTTATTGAAGGGACCTTTATTTTTATTTTGTCTTTTTGTATTATGTGTTATTAAGCTGTTGGTTTTTATCTCTTAAATGATGTATTTTAAAGTATTTTGTGTTTAAAAAAGGATCATTTTTAATCAAAAGGTGGATTTTATTTAATAAAATTGTGTATAATTAGATATTTATATAGGCGAAAAGGGGAACACGGTTTACTTTCAGGGTGTAGGGAGGGGAGTTAAGCATGAGAGTGGGGTTTTTTGTTTTGTTTTTCAGCTTTGAGGTCCGAGGTGTAAATACAAGTAAACACACGCACACTCACACACACTCATGGTCCCTGTGCTCTAGCTTTTATGGGCTGAGCTTCTCTTGAGCTTTAGACACAACGTCCAGGCCAGCTCATCCTGAAGTTGCAGAAGGCCTCCATCTGTCTATTTGGAGTCGAACACTAGGAGGCGCCATCAGTCTAAAGCTCCTCACGTCTCTGAACTACCTATTCTGAAAGCACGGACACACTCTCACGCCAACTTTTTAAGTTTTCTTTAAACAGTTTTTGTGTATTTTTGATGTGAAGCATGAATTAATTGAACTATCTACTGGCCTGTACTGTTTTTGCACAGACACTTAAGACTCGATGCTGTTGCGTTCGCTCTTCTGAGGAAGTGAACCTTTCTGCAACTTCAGGTTATGCTCGCCAAAATCCTTCCCCTCCACCCTACCTCTACCGCACTACTTCCATCATTCCTGCCACTTATCCTCTCCACATCTGTTACTCTTGTGATCTTCGCTAACCAGCCCCATTACCGTCTTAGTAGCACCATCCCGTGTGGTGATGATGATGATGATAATGATGATGATGATGTCACCCTTACGCCTGTGTCTTGATTGTGTTCTTCAAAAAATATGTATGTTGTCCGTCTTGGCTTGCTGTACTTCTGTGTAAAGTCCCGGCACTATAAAAAGCATGCTGAAAAAGGGATTGCAGGCGAGATTGGACAAAACAAAGGCATTATGGGTAGAGGGCTATGCTGGCTCGAGGGCTGTGGGACCTTTTGCTGATGGCAATCAATGGTTTGGTCCCTAACAGGTTCTGTTGTAAACGTTGTAGTTGTTAGTGTTTTGATGTTGATATTTTTATCAGTTTTAGCCAGAACTATAAAAACTGCTGGTTAAAATGAAGGGAGGCTGGGACTGCCACAAACCTTTTTTACTGTCCCTGTCGTCCCCTCGCACACTGATTAATACACACACACACACACTGGATGCTGAAATCTTGAGACAAAAACACTTAATACACTCCTGTGGGTAATTACATTGGAATTCACAAGATCATATAAGCACATGAGATCAAAGATTCTCCCTTTAAAGAGGACAAAACATAACTCCATAGCAGTGGCTGAGCTTTGCAGCACTGTTTTGTTCCACTATTGTAGAAACTTTGTGTGTCTTTGTACCAACGGAGGGGTGAGTCTGTCCCGTGTCTGTGCTACGCTGCTCCATAGTTAAATCGCGCTCTACTTAGGCTGTTGCCTAAAAGCTGAAACCACAACGATGCTTCAAACTATCACATACCGTGTCTTTGTACGTACACTGACACAGTTGAGCGGATAATAAAAAATAAAAAAAACATGTTGTGAATCATATGTGAGACCCAACCTACTGTATCAGCCGTCTGTGCTTCTTTCTGAGTGCTGTTACATATCTGACATACCATGAAAACTGTGTCCCTCCCCACCCTCCACACTTTTTGCACCATGACGACGACACGTTGTAAAACCAGTACTGAATCTATGATGTGATGTTTTATATGGCTCTAAGTAGTTCTGTTTGTGCTGTGGGCTCTGGCCCAGTTGTCTGTTGATGCCACCGATCTGACGAGATGCTTTTATTTCATCGTGTGCATATTTCCACACAGTCATGGGGATGCTTAGACGAGTGAAATGCAGTTAAACGTTACAGGTTATCCAAAAGGAGGGGAACTGATCTGAAGCTGCTGAACACTCAGTTTGAGTGTTTGAACAGTTGGATCAAGCTGAAATTTGCGTTTTTGATATGAAGCCGAAATAGACGTTAACAGCAGACATTTGGACATGTAGCAGGAAAAGCAAAAGGTATAAACGATGGCATTAATACAGGCTGCATCCCTGTGCTTGCTTTCTGGGGTGCTTAATGGAACATCATTGATGTTGTTAGTTACACTTTGCTTTTCCTGTTATGAGTAGAAATCTGTCAATTCTGAATCTATTGGGTCTAAAGAATAGGCAGCTGGTGCAGTTAGCCCACTCACAATGACCTTTTTTTAAATTGTTAGTTGTAGAACAGGGATTCTCAACCTTTATGACCTTAAAATAAGGCAGCACCTACTTGTGACCACAGGTTGGGAACTACTGTTATAAAGTTAAACTCTTTCGATGACCCTGCTTTTGAGAATTTTTTCCCTCTCATGCATCTCAGTAACTTCAGCTGATATTCATTATTTCTTTGTACTTATTCAGTCATATTTAGTCTTTCAGAGATGTATGCAATAAAGCGTCTTAAAAAACAAACACACACAAAAAAAACCACTTTCTCACTTGCCCTGATTTTTCCATCTGGCCATGCAGATAGTTTTGGTTTTATTCGTCTGGTTTTTGATGCATTGAAAAAAGACACAAACACCACAAAATTCAACAGCAACATCTCTCTCCAGAAACCGTGTCCTGTTTACTCCCTGAATCATCCACAGACTTAACTGTATACATTTTATTGGTAGAACAACTGTTGGGAGTAACACAGGCGTTTCTGTTGCATTTCAGTGTAACTAAGTGTAATCCAAACTATCTGCATGGAAGGAAGTAGAAGGAACTAGAGGCTCCCTGTACTGTTTAACACCAGACATGATGCAAAAAGGCAAATATTTCTGCACAGGTTCTGAACTCCGGATCACAGATGAGGCCATTGTCTCATTGGGTAGTGTATGGAGGCAAAGAAAGGTCATAGATTCACTGACGCAAATAATCTAATTATGAAATGTAATTATTTCACAGTATTTAATGTTAAGATTTAAATGCCACAGAAATCACTGCATTTAAATATTTTACACTGAAAACTTCCTCAATACTGAACCTGAATAAACATTCTGTAAATCAAAATTTAAAATTGCACCAGATACAAATAGCAACTGGAAATTACAAAGAGGTCAATTTAAACCACTTAAATTCAGATACATGCCTTCAATAAGTAGTGAAATATTTGTGGTATTTGAATTTAACAAACTATATTCCACAGTAATTATATGTCAGTGTTCATTTGCATATAAAATGAAAATGATTTGGGCTGTATTTGCTTCCATAGAAGTACTACAGTGACCTCCCTGTTCAGCTGAAGTGTCACTGAGATCCAACAGAGTGCTTTTAACATGACAGGGTTATCGACCTTTAAGTCTCACTGCTGTACATAGGATATGTGACCAAATATAAATTTAACTTCACACAGAATAACCTTGGGCTGAATGCACCAACGACCTACAAGAGAAAATATCATTCACAGTAGTTGAAGTAGCTTGGTGTCTGTTTTGCTTTAACATTTTTGGTTTAAAAAATGCAAATGTGTGAAAATCAAATAAAATTCATATATTCGACATTTGCCAAAATACTAGTGCACATGTCTAATATATATTAATTAAAACAGTACCTGACTTAAGTGAGGGGAAGAAAAAAAATCCTTGAAATGCTTTCAACAAATGTTGAAAAAGGATAATTAAAACCACAAACAGCAACACTATATATGCAGTTTTACAAATGGAAGAAATATGCATGTCTACTTTCTGGTAATTTTTCACTGTTTACTTGATAAAGAAATGGAAATCTATGTTACTTGCATCCTCAAGGTTATGAAATGGCTCCATCTGAGTTATCTCACATTAAAATGCATAAAAGAATAGCAAAAGCCTCAGCTTGTATGTAAGTAAATTTATTGCATTGTAACCTTATACTAAAAAGGGGCTAAATGTGTCTATACTCCGAGTTTCAATTGGATGCTGGATTTTTGCATGACCATACAGTTAATAAACATACATTAAAAACTATCACGTGTTTGTTTGGATGGTTGTTCTTTGTTATTATTGGAAAATTAAAGTATTTAATAAAAAATAAAAAAAGCATTTCAATATCTGTGTCTGTTTCTCATGTTGTTACAAATGCTTGTGTGGTGTATGCAGTTATCTAAATATCAGTACTGTGGTTAATGATTACAGCTGTTTATATACGGGTACGGCACAAAGACAACATAACACACCTTGGGGATGAAGTATAGATAAAGTATCTATCTTTCTATCGATCTATCATACAGATAACCTGCAGCTGTGTATAAGGCTGGGTGGTAATTAAATCAACTTACAGAGGTATTATATACAATGTACAGCCTTTAAATAGCTAAATATGCTTAGATATCCGTTTAAATAAATAATGACAAGAAATGTGTAATTAACAAATTAGCTATGTTACATGTTTTAGATGTTGAAATACCATTAATTGCATTAACATGCTTTGATGATTTTACATTTGTTCTACATGTGCTATTAAAAGTACCTAAAAAATATTCTTAGGTCAGTTTTTGGGGGCTAGATTGTTGAAATAAATTAAATATTTGAAAATGTTCATTGTTTTTAAGGAAGGTCGTCCCCTCTTACACTATGACAGGTCCATTCACATCTGTGTTAACAGTACTGACAGTCACCTCTAGAGAGTGCCAACAACCAAACAAATCAACATAAGGCTGAGCTGGGGCACGAACATCCTTTCAAACATGCAGTTAGCATTTAGGTGTAAATTTAATTAAAGGATAGGTTCACAATTTATCAAGCCAAGTCTTGAAACAATAATCAGGTGAATATATGTACACTGAAACAAGTTTTGCATTCCTCCTGTTTATACTGTACTAAAAAGGCTGTAACTGTGGCATTTGTCCTACATCTCGGTGAGAAGCATGTTAGGAAGGGATCTTTCAACAAGCAACAACAGTTAATATGGATATGTGACTGTTGTTTTAATACAGTCTTATTCACAAAAAATGTGAACCTATCCTTTGAGCTTCAGCTGAGGTGAGTGTCTCCATACCTCTGATTCATGGCGATATCGTCCCACCAGTGAGGTAGCCTGCTGCTCCTCTCTGCTTGAGGCATCATTAGCCACTACAAGAATAATACACCTGAATCTCTGATGGACCTGTCAATGGTCAAGTTGCATTGTGGGTAATGTAGGCACCATGTTTGGACAAGAACAATGCATGGAATAAAAAAAGACGATATCTCTGGTTCTGCTACATAGATTTTGATCATTTTATTTAAAGAACCGGCTCATTGTAAGTCTGATAATGTTATAGAGTGCAATGCTAAAGTGGTGGAGTACCCAAAGTACTCCACTTTAAATAGGATGTTTGTCCATTTTCATACAGGAGGGGACCAGAATATTAGAAAGACCTCTTAAAGAACCAGTGTGTAGGATTTTGTGGCATTTAACAGTGAAATTGCTGATTGTCACTAACTGAATACCACTCGTCTTCCAAACGTGTAGCAGAAACTACACTGGCTGCGAAAAAATGCTAAAGGCCATATCTAGAGCCAGTGTGTTGTTTGACCATTCTGGGCTACTGTAGAAAACATGGCAATTCAACAAGGCAGACTCTGTGAAAGAAGAACCGCATCTTTGCATAAAACACAAACACTTGTAGTCTTGATGAATTTTAATTACATCAAATGGATTTATGTAAAAGTGGAAAAGGAAGAAAACAATGGGTCTCATCATCACCATCATGTTCAACACAGCAACAGAAATCTGCACATGTTCTGTATGCACTGGGCAGATTACAGGTCACCTATACTCAAGTCATATTTATAAACAGTTCCTTACTGAGTGCCTTCTCAGAACATACATACACAAAACTGTGATGGTATGATGTTAATGAACTGTGCTTTTACTGTTATTTTCCATTTCAGAGGAGGATGGGAAGCAATAAATGAGATCAACGATGATATATTTTTTAAGATAAGAACAGTGTGTAGGCTTTGTTTCGGGGGGAAGGGGGGGGCTGCCAACCTTCATATAGGTGACCTGGAACACTCCCATGATTAGTCTCTCACTCTCAGATAACACAACCTTCACTCACGATTGGCACGCACCAGACGCCAATCACACAGCTGTCATGGCTCATGTCCAAGTCCATTTGGCATCCTGGCAAGAAAAATCCCCACTGAACTCTGTCCTCCCTCTTTGATTGGATAAAAGGAAGTGGGGTGATTGGCTGATTGATTGCTCCATGCAGATTGTGATTCTTCAGTCTGATAGCAGGTTGAGTTGGAAATGTTTGGTGCCGACATGCTTTGAAAAATGTTTTGTTCGAGCCTGAATGTCGTCTTTGCTTGTGCATGCTGCCCATTTACAAAAAGACTTTTTTTTGATCATGGCGTTGGGCAGAAGAAGGTCCGGCTGACTTTAAAGTTGCACAAAAGAACCAAAATGGTGTCATCAGTCTGATTTGAGATCTCCCTTTTGGCTGTCGTGTGAACATTGGCACTTTAATTTTAGCCTGTAGAGACTAGTGCACATCTAGCAGTCCGTCACACTGAAGGAAACATGGCAGTGCAATCTGCCACAGCTTTAGTCTTTATATAAAAAAAAAAAACTGTCACAGCAACATTTTCTAATATTTTTCTGTTTTCCTTGATTCAAGGAAGAAAAACAAAACAGAGAAGGAAGCCACTTTTCTCTACTGAAGTGTCCTGGGTTTGAAACAAAAAAAAGGGAAGAAAAAGGAAACTGGGATATACAATCTTTTCTCACTGTAGACGGTCTCAGCAGATTAACTCTACTAGGCTTCAGACACACAGCTCCAAGGCCACCTTTCTCTCTGAGTCCCAGGCAAGCAAAGAGGAGTGGAAAGAGCAAGAAAAGAAAGAGAAGGAGACAGATTAGAAAATAAAGAGGCAAAGTTGAAAGAAACAAAAAGAGAACACAACACAGAAAATAGAAAAAGAGAGAAAAAAGACAGTTAAAAGTCAGAAACTGTTTCAGTAGACAGTGATATATAAGGGAAGACCGAAGGAAGCAGCCAGCCTGGATTTACATGCATTGTCAAGGGAACAAGAAGGGGGAAGGATTTCAGCGCTACACTGAAGCCATGCAGCAACTACAAGCATCCTGAAAACAGCAAAAGGGCCTATTTTTTGTCCACCAGCGGGAAACACTCAGCAGTCACCTTAACCAACAACACAAGAAGCATCATGGAGGAGGGATACGCTGAGGCGCCGGAGTTGTAGAACTCCTCTTGTTGGGTGATTTGGGGACACAAACAGGCAACATGTTCGTCCACTGAGAGCAAAGCGGTAAAACGGCCCATATGCCATGCAAACCAGGGTCCCATCAGACTCTGAACAGGCGTTTGGCACCACAGGGACGGTGGGGCAACAAACAGTACAGTGAGGAAGGGGGTAGGAGGCTTACAGAAGCAGGGGAAGCAAGTGCACGACAGGATGGACGACATCTGTTACACCATGTTTTAGGTTCCCATGGAGACAAGACCGAACCCCCCAACCCCACCCCAATCCCTATTCCTCCCGCTCGAGCAGCACTCACTCACCACGCGCTCACAGCATGGTAGCAGACAGACGAGGGTGGTGGGGCGGGGTTTAGCAGCTTTGCTGCGGCTCCCCGCTCCTGCTTTTAGACTTTCTGCCCTCCACATCTGTAGGACAAAGGCAATGTTTATGTTACATCTGTAGTCAGTGACAATTTTCATTTACTTTATACCTGCATATGCTGTAGATTAGGATAAATACAATTAAGCAACTTCAAAACAGCAAGTATAAAAGCAGAAATAAATAAGGATCTAGAGGCAGACAGTACTGTTAGTATTGGCACATAAAGCAGTGCTCGTCTTTGATTATAACTTAATGATTACAACAATCTGTACAAGATCTTATCAGTCTAAATTACTTAATCAAATATTATCCACTTTCAAGTTATGGTGCGTCAGGGTGAGTAAATAAAAGTTTCCAGATACCAAAAGGAATGATGTTGGCTTCATTCACAAAACAGTCTGACCACTGAAAACTATTCTCAACTTACTACTTCCTGTTTTACTAACTCCATCAAGGGCTATCATCCTCCACTACCTTCACTGTCAACTTTCACTTAACCAACTGCACCTTCCCCTCAGATCGTTTTAGGAATGAAGCTTCATCATTTTGTCACCAGCCCAAGAGGTCTGTTAAGACCCACCAGAGCAAATCCCCCAGTTAATATACAGAAAAGAAAACACAGAAAAGGTGTCAAATGTACAAAAACAAACAGTACACACCATAAAAATAATGGATAAAGATAAACATGATGACCATTTTGATCACAGCAATCAAAATGAGTGTTTCAGGTCCGACAGAACAAAGCCGTGCAATTTAGTGGATGATGCAACTGAGTTAAAAGCAGTGAAAACTCCCCCATACACTGAAACATCAAAATACACAGAGAGTGGAAAGTGAATCTATTATCTGATACATTAAACCTTTTTAATTTGGATTTGTAATTAAGAAATTGCTGCTACGAGATCTGTCCCACAATTAATGCTTTTTTTAATGGATCCTGGTGACCGATGAATCTCAAACATTTCTACTCGCTGCTAATTTACGATTCAAGCTATAAACAGAAATATTAAGCCTGTGATGCATAAACCCCACATTGCAGATAATAGTATAATGTTAGCCAGTGAAACAGATTTGATGAGGAAACAATAATAATGGTAAAAGGCTGCTGGACGGAAGAACATTCATCAAAGTCCCACCTCAGAGAAAAGAACAGAAAAATAAACAAAAAACAAAAAACAACAGCGTTTCACCGATCGGCACCATGGCAAACAGAAAAGAATGAAACAAATACACCACACAGGGATAGATAGTGCTCTGATAAATACATGCAGAGGAGGAGGATTTGGCATTCATCCCGTTTTTCTCCCCTCTTTAAGTCACGTCTGGCAGAAAAGATCAGCAAGCCAGAGCCTCTCCGTCTTTCACACACACCCATACTCATACCACAGAGACTGGTTCTCCTCCGGGCTCAGTGACTGGTCCGAATTATTCACACGATTGGGATCAACGCCCTCGTTATTCTCTTTCAGACTGGCTGGGCTTGTCTGGCCGTTTGATTGGCTGTGAGGGGCCTGGTTTTGGGTGGAAATGTGGGTCGGGATAGGAGGAGGGTGCGTTTTATTTGTAACAGGAGGCCCGCTGATGTTGCTGACTAGTGTGGGGTTTAAAGACAGGAAGGGTAGGTTTTTGCTCGCTGACTCACTAAAGATTGAGTCCATGAACACAGACTCTACAGTGAAGGAAGGGCCGAGGAACGACTCGAGGGTGGAGAGGTCAGGATCTTCCAAGCTATGGCAAGGTAAGCTGAGTGACTTGGGCAGGGTGGTGGTGGTAAGGGGTGCCTTTAGGTTGGTGCTGTTTGGGTGGTACTCACTGGGTGTAGGCTGGGAGCGTATCCCAGCCTTGGTGGATGCGACGGGAGGAGCAACGTCGACCGACACGGGCTGCCGGTTGTCCTTTGAGAGCAGGTCGTGGATGCTGGTGCGCCGCGTGGTGCCCTCGGCGGTGGAGATGACGCTGCTGGCCCGGGGCAGCGTGGAAGAGGAAGAGTCCAGGCGTTCGGAGACGGATGTGGCTTTGCCCTGCGAGGACAGGCTGGAGCGGAGCGGGACGGAGCCCCTCACACGGGTGCTCTCCGCCTTACGCAGGGTCGGGCGACCCGGCTGTCCAGCGGATCTAGGCGGGCGATCAGAGCTGACCGGGGCCGCTTTCCCACTGGCGGAGCGCAAAATGCCCCGGCCCTTTGTGGAAGTGCGTTCTTTCTGCACATGCTCGGAAGAAGTGGAGAGGCGAGGAGAGTCTACAGTGAGGTTTTCCTGACTGCCAGACTGCAGAGACAGAGCAGACAAACAGTATCAAGTACAGTATAATTCTTTAACATTAAAAGGTAGTTTTATCAAAATTTATGATTCTAAATGTTTACGTCAAAAATCTTTGTGCTCGTCGTGTTTACTTGAGTCTTGAAAATCGATTCAAATAGCTTGACAGAAATTGAATCTTCATGCTACTTTAAAAGTTGGTATAAGTTGGGTTTCAAACTGTTAAACTGTCAGACAAAACAACCAATTTGAAGACGTCACCATTGGCTCTGAAAATTATAATGTGAATACTTACGCTCTTTTTGGAAAAAAACTAAAAATAGAGAAAATAATCAGCAGATTAATTGCTGATGAAAATAATCTTTAGTTCCAGCTCTACATTGATCCCTCATATGATTGCAATCCAGCATGGTTATAACTGGGGAAATATTCTCATTTCCATTAAAGCCTGATGGTAAATGGTAAATGGACCTGTACTTCTATAGCGCCTTTCTAGTCTTCCGACCACTCAGAGTTCTTTTACATTCGCCCTTTCACACACGTTTACTCTGTGATGGCAAAACCCATCAAACAGAAGCGAACGCATTCATACACGTTTCACACATTCGGGGTTCAGTATCTTGCTCAAGGATACTTCGACATGTGACAGGAGGAGCCGGGGATCGAACCAACAACCTTCCGATTAGTGGACGACCCGCTCTGCCTCTGAGGCACAGCCTGATGTGCTTCATCTGCAGGTTTTAGTCGAAAAAACAAAACAAACCAGAAGCTAGTGGCCTCACCTCTGCGGGATCAATACCCTCATCCAGGAACTGCTGCAGGGAAAGCACCTCGCTGCTCCTGATCTGGGTCTGGCCGGGGATGCCTGCGGCGGTGGACGGGTCAAGGGACCTGCGCAGCTGCAGGGGGCTCTGGTGGGAGGAGCGAGAGGAGGTGGGCTGCTGGACGGGGCTGCTGCCGCTGCTAGACCACACTTCCTGGTCCAAACTCAGGCTGAACTCGCCGCTGCTCTCGCTGTGAGGCCTGCTGAGGCTGCCGTTCAACGTGCCTGTGGGAGGGGAGGCAGGGATTAGAACATGTAATAATAAGCTATCCATCCATCCATCCATCCATCCATCCTTCTACAATGCCTACATTATCACAATATATAGTAAATCAGGTCATTTAAAAGCTACATTTACTACAAAATACTGTAATATACTATTTTGTTATTTGCTTTTGCTATGTGAGATTTCAGCTTATCAATCCTTCATAACTGAAATGTTCAAGTACTTTATTTATAACCGTGTCCATCCATCACTAAATTACTTGAAAACGAGAGAAAAGAGGAAGACTTGAGGGGTGTGATGAAAATTAAATCTATACGTACCTGAATATTTAATATATTTGATGATTTAACATTTTTGTTCCACGGTGCAGTAAAAGTGCAACCAATTTGGATTTGCTACATTAATCTCCAATGTCAGTAAAACATAAAAAACTAAGTGTACCTCAGACTCTCTTAAAGGGAATCGAATCATCCTAATATATTGATTCTGAACAAGACGGGAAAAAAAGCTTCAACTTTCCAGTTTTCACAGGAGGACACAATGAAGTAGGTTTGAGTACAGAAATGGAGCAGAGGAGGAAGGCAAGAGGGGTTAGTTGAGAGGAGAAGTAGAAGGGAAGGGGGGGCTAAGGGAAGGAGGAGCATACCTTTAACCTCCAGAGGAGAAGTGAGGTGGGAGTTATTGTTACTATTACTACTGATGGTCCTGTTGCTATGGAGACTGGAGGGTCTGGAGGCTGGGTAAGGGACAAGAAGGAAGACACACGCACACACACAAAAACACACACACACACACACACACACACACACACACACACAGTTAGGATATATATACACACTTAACATGTAACCACACAGACATGCACTAACACAAAGAGTAACACAAAGGTGCACATTGACAGTTTGACAGAACATTTCCTGCTGGGGCAGCAGATGGCACATGCCAGGCAGAGGGACAGGAAGGGTGGCTCGGTGCCAGGCTGCAGCCACAATATGTCCAGTCAAAAAACAAAGCAACTACTGACAGAGAGGGCAGGGACATCTAAATCCAGGGACGGCCCCATCTTAGAGAAAAAGGAGAACTGAGACAATACTGAATAACAGAGGACGACGGAGTAAGCGGGTAAAGTAGTAATAAAAGGAAGAAGTGGGAGGCCTTTGTGTGAAATTGAGGAGGAGGAATTGAGAAGGAAGAATAAGAGAGGAAAGGAGTGGTGACAATGTGACCTTGCTCTTGACTGTGTAGGGACAGTCCCAGCTGGAAACCAGGGACCGTGAAATCATTTCCAACTGGTTTGCAGGACACGGGTGACACCGAATTAGAATTTAAAATGAACAATTACATCACTAATCATCAGTTCTTATTATGTCTAGGAAACCAGGATGGTTCTAGGATTCAGTGCCGAGTAGTGGTCACTTACTACAAATGTTACAGGGCACTCTGCATGCAACGCTCAGCTCAACAGGAGAAGGACACAGAGCCAGAGCACTGCTATACACCTGCAGGCCTGATAAAACACACACATATACACAACTCAACACACCCTGGTTCTGACACATGACATTACGCTACTCATTACTGCTGCCCACAGTGCAAAACAAGCAAAGTTCAATACCTCTTAATGGTTCGACACACAGGTAGAAACATAAAAAAAGGAAATGTTGTGGGAGCAATAAAAGTTTCTTGAAAAATCAATAACATCTTTGGTATATGACGTTCTGGCTGATCCATTATAAGCAATGTGCGCTGTGTGGGCGAGAGTGGATGTCCATTTCCTCCAGTCATTACAGAGAGGTACTGGGAAATGGGTCTCACAACAGTGTATTGGATTTTATGAGTGCATTCTGGGAACTCATCAGCTAAGTAGGATCCAAGTTGTGCACCAATGCTATGCCAGTGTCCTGGGGAAGCAGTTTACTGACCTGTTGGGACTATAGGTTACATACAGTATTTGGATGCCAAGTAGTAAGTATTGAGTCTGGTATTTTAACAACAACAAACTGATGGCGACAGGGTGTAGACTCATCTTAAGTGCTAGGAATGTGTGTCAGTAGTTTGGTGGCTGTTTAACAACTGGGTCATCTACATTAGAGTGGCACAGAACTGATGAATAGTTTGGTCGCAGATTAACTGCCCTGGATAACGTCCTAAAGCCTGAATTAAAGTCAATCCTACTTTGAATGGAGGCTGATCTCTCTCTCTCTCTCTCTTTTTTTGCTCTCCACTAAAATTGCTTTTCCAACTGTAGATCAGGCTTAATCGAAGTGCAGCAAGGCAGCCCAAAGATTAGCAGTGGAACTGCTGAGGACATGACCTGCTTTTTTTGGGGGGCTATTCAGTCCTTTTCTCATTTCTTGCTTGAAAGGCCTTCAGTTTCCCGACTGGTGCAGAGAGGACGCTGCAATTACCCATCCGGTTTCTTTTCACTTGACACGTCTACAATTTGAGGCTGATGTCACGTCGAGTCTTACCTTGACTCTTAGGGTCATCTAAGGAGCCGGCGACATCCTCACAGGAAGCATTATCTGTTGAGACACAGAAGAGAGTGATGCTACAGCTGTTTTTTTCACTCTAATCTGACTATATTTCACCACCTTCATTTGAATCCTAACTCAAATGAGTCCAGTCTACTGAATATGGACATTCACAAAGGGCAAAATAAACGCCAAACATATCTGCAGATCCACCTTATACACGAAAATGTGACGTGGTGTCAGATATAAAGTCATTGTGCCTGTTTTTCCCCCTCACAAAAAAAAAAACGAACATCCTGACCTTTGACCTGAAGCCGGAGCTTGGCCCTGCTGTGCCCTGCAGTGGGCAGGGTGAGGGCAGCACAGTCAATGGCGTTGGTGGAAAAGGCAAGCTCCTTCATGCGCTGCCCGCTGCGCCTGCCTCTGCCCTCTCCAGCCTCGACGCCATCTAGGTTCTCGATGCTGCTCGCCCACTGAGCCCCGGGACCGCCCGCTATCGCCATGGTCTGCAGCAAGTCATTCATTGCTGAATGGACGAGGGGATGTAAATGAGGACAGGAAAATTATAAAAATTAGACATTTTATCACATCTTATCTTACCTCAAGTCATGGCCCAGATTTAAAAATTTTGAAATTTTTTTTTTTAATTTGTATGCTATTGGTTGCTTTAAGTGGTTTTCAATTTTTTCTTATTGAAAGATAATTCAATTGAGAATTTATCTCAAAATTTGATAATAAATTAATCTTGTAGAATACAAACAGATCTAGTGTTTTGGTATTAAAGGCACAGCGGCACAATATTATAAAAAAAAAAAAAAAAATGTGCATAAAGATGGCAGCTGCATGGTTCGTCATCCTGTCCTCTAACCCGGTCCGCCTCAGGTAGATATGTTTTGGGGACAAGTGATACACCAAACTAAGAGGCCGCTGTCTTTATGCACTTTGTTTACTGAGCTGTATGCAACGGTAGAGACGCATGAGCGCATGCAGAGCTGCTCCATCAGCAGCAGCGGCGGTGCTGTACACAAAAGATCAGAGTCACAATCAGAACGAGGCAAGTCCATGTCAGCAGAATAAGATCTGAAATGCAGCACGCTGACAGAGGACGAGAGAGAGAGAGAGAGAGAGAGAGAGAGAGAGAGAGAGAGAGAGAGAGAGAGAGAGAGAGAGAGAGAGAGAGAGTGTAAAGGCTCCATTTCAAGTCCTCCATGGTGAGTGTGATTGGCGGTGAGGCTTTTTTTTGGTCATGCTGTAATCAAAGATGCGAGCAAACACACCACAGGCGCATGAAAGGCAACAGTCTCTCCCACTCTCTCACACACAAACGCACACATAGAGCCTTTCATTCCCGATACACAAACAAAATGAAACCACAGAGCACATGACAAAGCTGCCCGATAAGTTGCCCGTTGCATACTGACTCCCATAGTAACTAAACTGAAAGATAAGCTTTGATAGATGACACTCAGAACTAAAAGAGATGGAAGTCAAACGGCATCACACTACAAGAGACAGATCTATAGAATCCTCAGTTTTTGCATCAGGATGTTTTGTGGAGGTTAGTCCTAATTTGTTTATACATTCATTTATTTTCATTTGTAAATCCTTGCGTTAAGACAAAGTTAGTGAGGTTTGTGTTATTCATTAATCTGCTAATAGTGAGAACAAAGTGACACTACAATGGTGAAAGCTGATAAAAGGTAAGTGTAGATACTCTATGGGTAGTGGGAAGTGGAGGCGGCAGACGCAGGCCGAGTCGGTGACGGCGAGGTGGGGGTTACAAGGAAAGAATTATAAAAGGACATGTCACTGATGTCACCAGACGCAGCATGGGGGTAGGGTGACTGTGTGAGAGATTTTAAAATCAAATCTTTGATAAATCTTATGCAGACATCTCTAAAAACATACCAAATAACATTAGCACTGAAATACTAACTCATATATATTAAATGGAAAACAATCACAAATTAATGACTGCAGGCCTGAGTCGGTTTAAGAGTTGGGACTGAAACCTGAAACTGCAATACTGTCACTGTCACTGTCATGTCACACCCCCACACTGCAGCCACCCTGACATCAGTGACTGCTCCTTCTGTTTTTCTCCTAGTGTGACGATGAGAGGGAGAGGAGGCGGAGGAAGGCTAGCGTGGCGGCTAACGGAGGTCTTACACATGGAGCGGCGGTAGATGGCCTTGGCCTTGTCTTTGTCCTTGGATCTGTTCCTCATGAAAGGCAACCTTTTTATAGCTGTCAGAGCGCAGCCAGAGACAGACAGATAGACAGACAGACAGCGGAGAGAGAGCGACAGAACAAGCCCGAGGGGGGGTGGAGGGAAAGAAAACAAAAGAAAAAAAGGAGGGCAGAACAGAGGGATGTGGTTAACGTTTTCACAAAGAGAGCCAGGGGAGAGATGCAGAGAGAGAGCTGAGTCCCTGGACACTCAACTGGATAACAGACAACAATGCAATAGACACATTAAATGACTTAGAAGGGATGGATTATATTATTACAAAACCTATTTGATTTATCATCAAGTGTAAGGTATTACAATCTGTAGAAATATACACCCTTTTTTTATATTTAAAATCACATTTCTTATGTTCAAATGCAACACTTGTTAACATGCTTTTTGGATGGACTGAAATGCCTCCCACAGATTTCTTTAAAACCTGAATAATAATGTTAAGGGCAGACTTCTGTACAAAAACACATTATGCAAACGAATACAAAAATGTGAACACGTTATGCAAATACACACACACACACACGCACACACACACACACACACACACACACACACACACACACACACACACACACACACACACACACCTGACGTTAATGGTCATGAGTATTGAATTCTGCATTACATACTGTACACAACAACACTGTCAACACGTTACCACAGCTACATGAAACACAGAGGATGAAGAATATTAAAGGGTGCAATCAGGAGAGTGAAAAGGTCAAAGGGCAGGTTAACAGCATCAGAGAGGACTGCAGTGTTTTCAAAGATATGAAACTTTAGTATTGCATGTTTGACGATGTAAAGTCTTTGGTACATGTTTTAATGTTTACTGTAACTACAGTGTTATTCATATGTATCCATTTGTTGTAATTTATGTTTTACTACATGATTCATAAAGGCTTCTTTATCAACAGTTTGTTCAACTGCTTTAAATTGAAAAAATAAAATGTATATAGTATTAATGCTTGTTACTCAAACATTGCTGTGTTTTACCCACTGGTGTGAAAAATATACTGACTCGCTTATACTATTACACTGGCTATAGCCTCTGGATTTTACACAATACATATATTTTCATTTTACGATAATCTGGAAGCAAACAAACCTTATTTATTCTACCAAATCCAGACAACCATTGATTTTGACACATCTTGCATTACCACAATGCATTGCACCTTTTAATAGCTCGGGTGCTACGTTAGAGGGTGTTTCTTTGTTATATACAGGTGAACTGCACAGATCAGCAGGTTGACAGGACTGTAACTGAGAGCTAATGAGCCATAGACCCTGTTGGGGGAGAAGTTAAGAGTGAACTGGACCCGAGACAAAATATACCTGAAGTATTTTCCAATATTTGAACCACATGAGATGCGCTTGATTCAGCTTGCCACCTGAACACTGTTGAAAGAGTACTCCTTTAACTCACGATGTATCGATGCAGCAGAACCAGGAATACTGTGTTTTTTATTCATCAAAACCTGGCCTACATTAACCACGATGCAAATCGACCAATGACAGTTCAGCTGGAGATGCAGGTGTGTTATGTTAGTAGCGGCTAAAGCTGCTAGCCTCCAGCAGAAATGAGAAGCTGGCTCCAGATGACTGGCAAGCTCCTTTCTTTCTAACTCTCTAAAAGACTTCAGCCCTAACCAACACAGCCTTAAGTGACATCACTTGAGGTAATTTATCAGATTTCATGCAGCTCCCTCTGAAGCCACAAAAACCTTTACATATGCAGCCAGACTTAAATGTCTTAAATCTATGGAGTTCCCCTTTAAAAATTTGTTTTCAGGACTAAAGTGTCTAATGGTGATATATAACTCTGGTACCATAAATCAGGTTACAGAAATCAAGCGCTTCTTCTGTTCTTTCAAATACAGGAAATGTATCTACTTTTCGAACCAGGTCCGAGGTTCAGAGTCAACCTTGTGGTGCTGCGCAGCTCAACCGTAACCTCTAGGACAGCTGAGTGACACAGACAATGGACTCACGAAAACATGCCCTGAGAGCTGTGACAGTCGGGTCACAAACCCCGCCCACCCTCCCCATCCGCAGCATACCATTGGTGGAACCCTGCCCTTGGGCATGGGACTGCTGCCCTCTCCTCCCTTCACGGAGAGAGAGAGAGAGAAATCAAGGAGCAGTTAGGGGAAGAAAGACGCATTCAACCGCTCAGCCAGCACACAATCACGTTAACCTACACCTACACACACCCCCACACACCCCCACACAACCACACCAAGCAGAAGTGTTTTGTGAATTTGTAGGTAGGTAAGTGAATGATAATGTGTCTGTGAAAGAGTATTCAGCATCAGATGGAACCAGTAACTATTTGGCTTTTCTTGCATGTACAGTTGAGTCCAAGTTTGGACAGTTGTTTGCTCATAGCTTCTTTATTTACTGTATGTTGTTGGTAAGTATGTTTGTACAGGGAATGGGTCTCATTTATCTTAAGCACCTTCCTTCGGTTGTGGTTGAAACTGTGCACACTGGATTCTTGGGTCTTTATCTCTGTGTGTATAAATATGCACGTGTTTCTTTTGTACTCACTGCTGCTCCTCTTTTGTGTAAGTGTGTCATCCAGCGAGTTGGAGCCAGAGCCGATGGACGAGCTGTCCTGGCTGTCCTGGGGAAAGGTTAGGAACCCGTCGCCGTACTCTGAACGAGAGGGAGTCAGCGTGAGAGAGCGCATCCTCTCCCGGCTCTTCGGCTTGATCAACTTCTTCATCTTCAAAGTGATCCAGTTGCCGCGCCTACAAATGAGAGACAAGAGTGAGACACACAGACCCATCAGGAACACAAGGAGAAAAGTTAACAAGATATAAAGTCAATACATACTGCCCCAAACGAATATGAAGTCTGGACAGATTTCAATAGTGTTTTATGTGTACTGCATTTTAAAGGTTTATTTCAGCCTCCAAATCTTCCCATAGACACTCGAGATGATGCAGTATACAGCTGTTTAGAGCTCTGCAGAACATAAATATTTGATGCATCCCTTCTTGAGGCTGCAGTGTGAGTGTCTACCATTCCCCGGCCTCAATATTATTTAACTCATGTAACTAGAGGATGTTCCTTTTTACCTGCGAGGAGGTGAGGGGTCGTAGAACTTGTACTGGTCCATGATCTTCTCCTCCAGCTTCTCCTTCTGTCTCCTCAGCTCATTCAGCTTATCTCTGATGGGTGTAGACATGAGAGATGATCCAGTAAGACAGACAATTCATAAAAAATCCATCCAGGTATAAATGTAACCGATTTGTGTGAAGGAATATCAAAATAATTGCGGACGAGGACCAATTCAGACAAAACTTTTGCTGTTTTAAATAAAGCAAATCAGGGGTTTACATGTATTGTCTTTGCTCTACGTGGAACAGGTCCTTGCTTTCCATGGTCTGCTCCAGCAGCGTGCGATTCTGCAGCATCAGAGTCTGGATCTGGTCCAACAGGTGACGATTCTCCTCCTCCAGGTTTCCTTTCAGCTGGCTCAACAACTAAACAAACGCACAGAGATATATTAAAGAGATGCTAAGCCACCTTTCCAAACAATAAATATGATACATTAAAAGAGATAAACCATCCCACAACACAGCTGGCTTAAGAAGTTGTCTCTACGAAAATCACATATTAAAAAGACAGCTGGCTTTAAAAGTGGCGCATAATGGGAAACCCCCAAATACAGAGAAGAAAAGAGTGGGTCTCCTCACCTCACACTGGTTGGTGAGCTTGGTAGAGGTGATGTCCAGCTGCTGGTACTGCTCCTTCAGTTTAGAGAATTCAGCCTCCAGCTTGGTCTGGTCCAGCTTGGCATTGTTCAGCTGGCTCTTTACATTCTTATGGTCCACCTGGAGATTGTCGTTGTCCTTCACCAGCTGACGATAGGTAGTATTCAGTCTGAGGAGGGAACAGATGGACTCCTCAATATACAGACACGTACAAGTAAAAAAGGTCGAATCACTTCCATTTTCATAAGTATACTATTGAAACAGGTTGAGCTGACCTATCATTTTCCTCTTTGAGTAGCTTGCATTGGTCAGCTGTGGCTTGATGCGATTGGTTCTCCAGCACCATTTTTTCCTGCTGCTCCTTCAGATTTTTCTCCAGCTCTTCCAGCTCCCCCTTCCTCTGCAGGAGCTGCTTGTACCTGCACGCATTAAAAATACACACACACACACACACACACACACACACACACACACACACACACACACACACACACACACACACACACACACACACACACACACACACACACACACACACACAAACATTACAAACTGTTCAGTGAGTTACATGAAGTAATACAAAAGTTCAGACAGAAAGGAATACAAAGCACTTAAGCCCTGGACACACCACATGAGTCATTATCCCAAGGGGTCTACTCTGGTTACTCAGCACGGCTGATTTTATGACTGTTCAGTATTACCATCATGAGACAGGAAAAGATCAAAGTAGTGTATGAAGCCATGATTTCAGCATGCGCCCATCCCATGTTCCTAAACCCCCAGTCTCACTTGTCCTCCAGGTCCCTGTGCTGCTGCTCCAGGCTCTTGTGGGAGGACTTCAGGCCCCCGTGTTTTCCGATCAAGGCTTCATACTCGACTGCCTGCCTCTCGTGGAGCGCCGCCAGCTTCTCGTGATCACGGAGGAGCAGCTCATAGGTGGCCCTTAGCTCCTCTTTCTCCTTCAGAGCTCCCTCGCGCTCTCCTTCCACGCTGCTCTGCTGGGTCTGCAGCTGGGCGTTCTGGGCCATGAGGGCTGCGCTCTGTGAACTCAGAGTGGAGTTTTCCACCTGAAGGAGAGGGATGTGACAAGTGACAAGAGGGATGGTGTGATGGGAGTGTAGAATAGGAAAAGAAAACATGAGAGACAAAAGGAGCAGTTAAAGAATACAGATTCTCCCATTAACATTTTGTTGTCCATCTACACCTATTAAATGATGGGGAGTACGGAGTTCCTCAAATTAAACCTCAGAGGATATAAAGGTAAAGTAAAGGTTGTTGCTGTTATTGTCTACAGGGGGCACTGTGTCTCTGTTCAGTTTGTTCTCGTTTGGTCTAAGTTCGATCTACAAAGCAGCAGCAGGAAAACTGTTTCTTTTCATGTTTCCTTTGTGGCCACAGTGGTTTCCTAGTCTCAAATCCCTCTTCAATCATGACTAGTGTGCACACGTGTACACACACACACACACACACACACACACACACACACACACACACACACACACACACACACACACACACACACACACACACACACACACACACACACACACACACACACACACACACACACACACACACACACACACACACACACACACACACACACACACACACACACACACACACACACCAGGTGCTGACACACTTTCTGTACCCTTAAACAGAAACAGCTTTTTACCTCCAGTACACACACACGCACACACAACTGAAGCTGCTGTATGGTCAGTGTAAATCCTGTCGCCCATAAGCAGGGTTTGAATTCGTGCCAAACAGGGAGTACAAATCTAAATCCAGACAGCTAAGCAGGCAACTGTACAAACAGCAATGTCGAGGGAAGGCTGGATTGCATTTTGTGTTTAACCTGTAAAATTGTTTATGTTACTTTGTATTACATAGTTTCATACGGTATTTAAGGAAGTATTTTAGGTTTTCTACTATCCCATTCTATTAGGCACTATAATGATATTGGTATGATCATATCCAAATTATACTTATTGTGTCCTCATCATTATATCATATGCAGAGATATATTTCCGTAGAGCATGCATCTTGGGAAAAGATGTGGGTTTATTTTTTGGGTAGTTTTTTTCTTATCTGAATTGGGTGTCTAATGAGTTTCACATGCTGTTAATATTGTAGGCATATGAGACACAACTGGCAAAACAAAAAATGACATTAGCCTAATAATTATTTTATCTTTAAGTAGAGTTAAAACAATAAATTACATTTCCATCCTCTGAAGGTTGATGATGATTGAAAGCTCCAGAACAGATACTAATTGAATTGTCATATTACATGCACTTTGAAAAGCCTTTGAATGGAAATAAGTCAAGTGAGTGGGTGATATCTTGATGTAAAAACTGTTTCACACACTTTGTTGTTGTTGCATCAACAGTTTGTTGTGTCTACCATATATAGTAGTCCATCTGCCTGAGTGTGTTAGATTAGATTGTTAGATTTGACTAAACTGTGGTAGCTTTGTTAGCTGTAATGCATACCTCTGTAATAAAGCAGTCATTTGTTGCCTACTAGATACTGTTGTGTAGGATGTGTAGGGGATTACCTGGAGCTTGGCGTTCTGCGTCTGTAGTGTTGTATTGTTCTCCTGTAAAGAAGCAGTCTGCCTCTGCACGGCCACTATCTGAGCCTGCAGGTTGCAGCTTTGAGTTTCCAGTTGTTTGAGCTGGCTCCTCAGGGCCGCCTTCTCAGCCTGCAGCGTGGCATTCTGGGAAAGACACACACATAATATAAAAGACATATGAGAATATATATTCAAAGAGAGTGAATAACCAAATGTGTGTGTTCACCATTCATACTGGAAAAGCCATATAAGCCATCTTAATATTGTGCTAACTTACATTCCTCTCCACCTCAATGAGTCTGTCTTTAACTTTCAGTAGTTCCCTGGTGGTTTCATGACTCTCCTTCTCCCATTTGTTGACAGCTTGAGGGTCCTCCCCTCCTCTAGGGGGCGAGCTCTGCACCATCCTCTCCTCCTCCTCCCTCTGACGCAGTGCCTCGTAGTTTTTCTTTACCTGGACAGAGACACGGGAGTCAATACATAACTTGAGATGTTTTCTAGTGCTCTTTATGTCGAATAAAATAAATTCCTCCAACATCCGAGACGGCTGAAAATGAAATACTGCTTCAGGCTTAACTGTAAAATCACTAAATGAAAGTGCTAGAATACAATATAAGTAATGGTAAAGCAACAACAGACAGCATCCATTAGAGTCCATCCACAGATCCCTCAACCTTTAGCTTTTGATCTGATTTGTGTCAGCAAGTTCAAAACACAAATGCCTCCCTAAATGAAGGCAGACATCCTCCACTCCACCTCATTCACAGACTCCTGCCGCCTCATGAATAGATAAACTGGCGATAGAAGTGGAATAGTGGATAAATTAATAATGTATCAGCTTTGAGAAGCCCTGTTTTCAGTGTTTCTAGTGTTTTAGAGTGCAAGGGAGGATTTTGGGACATAATGTTCTCAAGTGGAAGTTGGTGTTTTGGCTTTGTGGGAGGTGATTGTTTGTGGAATGTGCTTTCATTACTGGGTCTTCTGTTTTGTGGCTGAGCAAAGCATCTGCATGCAACAGATCCAAAACAATATATGTGTGTGCATGTATTTCTTTGTTTAAAAGTATGATCTGTGTGTGTGTGTGTTACTAACCGTTTTGAGCTCCTGGCGAAGTTGCTGGTTGAGGTTTGAGGACTCTTGCAGTCTGGCCTCCAGGGCGGCGATCTTCTCCTCTTTAATCTCCAAAGATGATTTCAGTGTCGACTCCAGTTTGGTTTCCAGGAGTCTAAACCTGAAAATAAATACTCAGTTAAGCTCTTTGTGTGTTCATTGGGCTCAGAAAACCTCCTACAGGACGATTCTGCAATAAACTTGATTATTTCTAAACTTCAACACTTGATCTAAAATGGTTGATTTATTTAGAATCCCAACTGTACTGATCAGTTTAAATTATTCTGATCCCAATATGTTAGTTGACAAGTTGTAACCTGGAACCTTCACAGAACAGTGAATATTGTTTATGATTAATTTACCTGTCGTCAGAGCTCTCATCGTGCAGCAGCCTTTCCTTATTCAGTCCAATCTTCTCCAGCTCATGGGTCAATTTCTCCAGATCATTATTCATCTGCTGAGTCCGCAGCTTCTCACTCACAAGCTCCTAAACACACACCACACATACACGCACACACACACGCACACACACACACTGAGTAACTCGCCTTCCATTTATTCATAATAACTAATAATGAAGATGCATGATTTAAATAGAAAAGAGTCAGTATCACAGAAAGGAAGTCAATATCAGAATTAATAATAAGAATCAATTCCCACCAATAATCATCTTTGTTTCTGTGTTTTCAATAACTTCCCACCAAAACACGTCAACAAAGCAAGCATGTACATTTAGTTATATTGTTTGACACTTCCAGTATCAACAAATGATCATAAAAAATAAATTAGTCTCAGTTTAGGGAACAATAATCTTTGCAGACTAACATCGTGAGGGCCAGTCTTACCTCTCTGAGTGTGATGAGGGTCTTCTTATCAATGGTCGACTGTTTGACCAGCTCCTTGTTCTCTCTCTCCAGGTCTTTGACCCTTGTGCAGGAGTCCCTGAAGAAGATCATCTCCTTGCCCATGGTTCGATTCTCTTTCTCTAAGGTGGAGATCCGCTGGTTGTTGTCATCCAGCTTGGAGTCACGGATTTCGGCCTGTTGCCTCAGCCGCTTGTTCTCCTTCTCCAGAAGCTTCTTGTCTTTTTCTAGCTGGGAGCTTTCCTGCTCCAGAGTCTTGTTCTGGGTGGATGATGGGAGGTAATGGAGAGATAAAACGTCATTTGATGGGATTACTTTTAGTCTAAATGCCTTGTAAATACATGTTTGCCTAAAAGAGGACATAGATTAACTCAAAGGGTCAATAATCAATTTTGAAAACTAATCTGGGATAATCCAACTCTGCTGGAAAACATGCTGTGATTTTATCAGAATGAACCAAAAAAATGGCAGTGCTGCTTGAGTGCCAAATAACACATTTTGACTTATTTTAATAAACAAACAAGATCTGCTGTGTCATAAACTACTTTCTGCATTACTCTCTGCCTCAACTACAGTTTTTGGGCCAATCTGAATGACCCCATTCTGCCAAGCAGAATCAGACCATCCCAAAATAAGTAACAGAGGCTGTGTCAGTAAACCACCTACAGCTATCCCATTGATGTTGTACCTCTTATGCTCCAGACCTAGTGCAGTCCAAAATGTGTCTAATTTCTTAACGCAGCCCTGTCCCACATGTCAGCACATGTGATTATTGCTGCTGATTTAATGTATACGTTTTGAGTTTTTTTTTTTTTTGCCTACCTCCTGCTCCAGCTGCTCCAGGCGTTTACTGGAGATCTTGAGCTCCTCCAGGTTGCGTTGTAGAGTTTGATTCTCCGTCTCCACCTCTTGCACCTCTGCCTCCAACTGCTGGATCTTCTTGCTGCTGTTCTCTAAGGCCTTCTGCAGGCGCTGGTTCTCTGTATCTAGGCCCTGGTAACTCATCTGGGAGAGAAAAAGCCAGATTAGGATATTAAAAGCATTCATGAACTAGTTGTGCCGCTCCCTGATGCTATTATATGCCAGATCCCCTGTAACTTACCTGCAAAAATATTAATTGGTGATAATACATTTATGGTACATGTAAGGTGCCTTTAAGGCTGCTTTTCCAGCACATTGTCACTTTTTTTTTGGTTTTCCATTATGGATAGTACCTGGTATCTGAACTTTATTGGTACCACCTCCATCAATGTTCCAAACGAGCTGAGCTGATACTAAAAGGTGACGTGAAAACAATGCAGACCACTGATTGGTCGTGTAACACGAGACCTCCTGCACAAGTCCTGCATTTCCAGCTTCTATCAATAGCAACCTTAATTTTTTTTTATTGTCAATTGATGAAATGCAGACGTATCAAGAACACCATCCCCTCATATATTCTTTCATAAGAGTGGCTGCTCCTTTTTGTGTACGTACATAGTGGGTGGATGGGCATGAGAGAGAGAGAGAGAGAGAGAGAGAGAGAGAGAGAGAGAGAGAGAGAGAGAGAGAGAGAGAGAGAGTTGAAGTTGTCAATCTGTCAGTAAATGTACAGTTTAGGTTACAGTTTGTCGGGGAATGAAGGCAGCAGCAAGTCGAGGCCAAAGTAAACTCCTGTGTGTTGTTTCGGTTTGATGCTAAACTCCGCCAGTGTTGAAGAGGTACCATCCAAAGTACTATCTACAGTGGAAAACTAAGTAAAGGTAGAGTCGAACCAAGGCGTACCATGTAGTGGACATAAGATATAAGTCTACAACTGGTCTGTACGAGCTTGTGTAGTCACATGGATGATTTTAGCTACAACTCACTGCTCTTCAGTCACAGAGGTACCTACAATATGACCGACAGACTTGAAGTCTTACCTCCAATCTCTCCGTCTTCTTGGACGAGGCTTTGAGCAGTTCCAGGCTGCGCTTCATCTGACTCCTCTCACTCTCCAGCTCCCTGTTCTCTGCTTCCAGCTGAGCGGCCTTAGCCCCTGCTGACCGGAGGCTCTCGGCCGAGCGCCGAAGCTGCAGGTTCTCCTGCTCCAGCTGGGAGTTCTCCTTTTCCAGAGCCTCCAGCTGGAAGGCCATGTTCTTCAGAGCATCCAGCTTCTTCTTCAGACGACGGCCTTCTGCCTCCAGCTCAGTGTTCTCCTTCTCTAAAGAAGACACCTACACACACAGAAGTGACTGATAAAGATGAGCAGTAAATAAACTGTCTGATGCTGTGTTGTGATATGGCAGCCTTATTCTATGCTGCTGGCACAGCTTCAAATGTAATATTAGACAATGCTTTAATGTTTCATATGAAGTCAAATGTTCCAAGAGTAAATCAAATAGTGAATTAGTGCAAATAGTGAAAAGATTGAAAACCCAAATGCGTAAGGTCTTAACTATAGATAGTTGAAGATCTTTATCCCTGAGGCATAGGGATAACAGGGATAACGACATACTTGTGACAATGTTCTGGGAAGCCAAGATAAACTCTTAATAGTTGTTAACTAAGTTGCAGCAGAGTCAAATGTAAACATACATTTCTCATTTTAAAGATAGAATAGAAACTATTACTGCTAAATTTATATAAATGATTTGTAGAATAAATAATATTGCGCATCTAATCTGATAAAACAAAGGGTATTTAAGTTGGACCATATGGGTAACTAAATGCACCGTACCTTTTCACAGGTGATCCCAAGACTGGCAACTTTCTTCTGCAGGCTCTCGTTGTCTCTTTGCAGCTTCTGGATCTGAATCTCCAACTCCTCTGCTCTCTCTCCTCTCTCCTTCATTACTTCAAGCTCTTTGCCTGTATTAAAAAAAAAAAAAAAAAAAAAAGATACTAACATTAACTCTTCCAAACAACCCAAACCTGTGAATTCAAAATTAAAAAACAAGAAATCTGATGTAGAGAAAAGGAAGCCAGATACTAAAGTTACCTTTAAAAAAATATATATAAAAAAAACACATCCACACTTATTGAAGTAAACCACAAAAATGATTAGAAAACAACACTTACGTAGTTGTTTCCTTTCAAACTCCATCTTATTGAGTTTGGCGGTTGTCTCGCAGATTGATTCGTGCAAAATGCGATTCTCTTTCTCCACATCCTTGACCCGGGCCTCAGCACCAACCTGGCAGCGTTGACGCAGAGACGACACCGTCTGGCCCAGGTGCTTGTTCTCCTGCTCCAGACCCTTCATCTGGAGAACAGACAGTTTCAGTGATGGCTTAGGGTCATGTTTAATATAAGAAATTCACTCATAGGGTCATGTTTAATATAAGAAATTCACTCAGGTTTATAGCATGAGACTACTTGTATGAGCTGATGAGATTAAAGAAATGAATAGTAAGCACCAATGTTTTGCTTCCAACTTCCATTTAGGTTAATTATAGAGGGGAAAAAAGGAGCAGAATTGAAATGCAGAAACACAACAACATCTTATAAGGGTTATACAAAACTACAGTTCATTTGAATATAATATGTTTTGGAAAAGCACTGCATTAGTTACATCTCATTATGTTAATAACCAACTGGACAGAATTGCCCACAGTAAGCTGTTAGTACAGCTTGTTGTGTCTTCACTGCCTTTCTAGCTCATCAAGGCCAGATTTTACAAATCAGATGGATAAACTAATCGAAGGTGTCAGATTTGGGTCTAACAGCTTTAAAGTCCCTGCAGACACACATAGAGTGACTGTATCTGGGCCACAGAGTGCCAGGAATCTGTGTAGTCAATAAAACATAGTGGTGGTACCACTTAAATAGTTTTTTGAGCCAAATAAAAATCAATTTCACAAAGATTTCTCTCAAGAAAACTCTGTATAGACTTGAGTAAATTACACAGCTTAGTCATGTTCTTTTCTCGGAGTTTCCTGGAACGAGAATCAATGATGGTTTTGTAAGCCCTGTCTCAAAGCCCTGTTTGTCTGACTGTGTTGGTGTATCTGACCATATGCTTGACCAGTTTACAAACTGCAACGTTAACTGTATTTTAAAGCAGATTAATGCTATTAGTCATTTTATATTAGGTTAACTGTGCTAACTTGGTCTGCAATCTTGAATGCAAGGGGTCTAATAAGTCAATAGTTATTCAGCAAAAATGTGGCATTCTTGAAAAATAGCACACAAGCATAATCACTCAGAGGATTTAAAAAAAAAAAACCTAAATGGTCCACATTTTCTACTGATGGTAGAAATTAAGAATAAGTGCCACTAATTTAACATGGTGACCATCAGGTTTTGGGATAAACTTCAAATGAAATCTGTGTGGTGTCTGTGTGTGTGTGTGTGTGTGTGTGTGTGTGTGTGTGTGTGTGTGTGTGTGTGTGTGTGTGTGTGTTTACCTGTCTCTCAGAGTTTTCTCTGAGTGTTTCCAGAGTCTTCTCCAGTAAAGCCTTCTCTTTCATCAAGTCAGTACTGAGTGACTCAGCGCTGCGGAGTGACTCTCTGTCTGCTGCCAGTTCACTCTCCAACTGCTCCAACTGTAAACAATAATGACATCTTAAAATAATGCATTTATAATCAATAATATCTTGATTGAGTTTTAATGTTTTGTTTGGTGTTCATAAAAATGAAAACTGATGCCATTTCAGCCTTGTTTTCCCCTTCAGTTACAGACATCATGATTTCATTACATCCTATGTTGCAGTACCACCTGTATTGTGGTGCCATTATTATTGTGGCCAAAGTACGAGAGCTAGCCTGTGATTCACAAAGAAGTAAGTGCAATTATTAATCCATGATGAAAGCACATAATGCATCACCTCATTCTGTCAAAACTCTACACACAAGTTCATTTACACGCACACACACGCACATTAAATGGGACTATTTCTATTGTTCAAGTCTACCAGCAGTTGCATTCACATTTTAATGTGTTTTGGCTCTAGACGTAAAGTCACTTAGAAATAAATTTCTCACTCCGGATTTTCTCTTTGTGAGAGAAAAACACTATTTCATGCTTCTTATTCAGACGGCGGAGAGAAAGGCTTATGTTTTTGAAAAAAGCTGAGAGACTTCTCTTAGCGAGGGGCGTTCGAGGGTCAAAGACAAGGAAAGAAAAGGCAATGCAGGACTGCCTGGATTTACAGCCTTGCTTTCATCCTTCTATCCACCCCTCTCTATACTCTTCTCCTTCTTTCTCTTATTTATTTACCACCGTCACTGTGTGAAAAGACTTAAAGCCAAGTTTTAGGGTGATATAGTATGGAGGAATGCTGGTCCAGTATGCTAATCTTGGTGGTGACCCTGATGAGGGGCAGAAAACTAAATTGCAAATCTAACCGAGGCTGCAAAGTGTTTAAAGATAAAGCATGGTCGGTACTATAGTATACATGAATACTGATCCAGCAGTCACAGAAATGAAACACTTTTTTGGGTACGACATGTACTACAAACAAGTATGTCCAACATATCCATTGGCTTTCTTTATTATCCTATTATTCAGGTAGCTGATTCGCAAAACTTTCTTGTGATGCACAACCTATACAATTTAGTACTATGACTAATTAAATGAGGAGGTGTTGGAAGAGTATATCTGTGTGTAATTTTGCCATCAAGTTATTAAATATACGTCACACGTATGTTTCCCTAGAAGAAAAAACAGGAAATAACAGTCAACATAACGCTTACACAAACACAATATAAAAAACTTCAATACATAGTCCATTGCTTACTTTCTGGTTCAGTCTCTGGTTTTCCTGACTGGCTTTGGCCAGTTTTGCCACAGTGTCCTGACCAGCTGCTCCTCTAAGTTCCTCCACAGTCTTCAGCAGGGTCTGGTTGTCTTTCTCCAGCTTCAACAGGCGGCTCGAGGTCAGCTCATTTACTTCTTCTCCCAAAGACTTCTGAGGGGCTGAGTCAATGACAGCAAGAAAATTTAGATTTTAACTCAATGCTTTAACAAATATTAACAAATAACTCAAAAATATGTTTACATTTTTGATGTTCCACATCAAAACCACAGAGAAAATAAAAGACACACAAATAACCATTTTAAAAATTGTCCACCACAGAATAAATGCATAGAAAGCCCTAGGATCCAACTTTGCCAGGTCTTAAAGCTTTTAAAGTGCCATTTTGAACAAACACCCAAGCACAAAGTCTTTATCCAGATCCCTGGCTAGTTAAACCTCTTAACAGCTTTTATAATCCAAACGCACAGATTATCCTCCAAGAGCCACTGAATATTAATTACAGGTCTTAATCAAGTGGAAAGAAAGCCCAGTGGAGGCTGGCAAATGCAGAAGAGTCATGGGGATGAGACCAGGGGCAATTAAGAGCCAATGACCAAAACATGTTCTGTTGGCTGTTGGTCTGAAGCCTAGTCAACTCAGGTAACTGTAAGCTGCTTGATATTTCAACTCAACACCTTGCTTTCCTTAACACTCCTCTTTCTGTTATATTTTTTCAACTTATTCTAGCTGCCAGTCAACATACAGAAACATGCTATTGTTCTCTGGTTTTCTTACCTTCTGTCAGTTCTGGTGTCTTAGATAGTTGCTCCAGTTCCCAGCCCAGGTGCAGGGACTCGTCCATGCTCTGTTTCTGGGCCATCTCAAGCACAAGGTTCTCCTCCAACAGCTCTTCCATGCGCTTACGGTCCATGTCCCGCTCCTGGAGAGATAGATGTGTTGAGATGAACATATCCTGCACAGCTGAACACTACTACTACTACCACCACTACTGATCCTGATTTTTTATTAGAGCTAGAGAAGTTGGGTTTCAGTCTCTCATAACACTCTGTACGATCAATTCCAGATCTCTGCACTGAAACACTGATCCATAAATCCATCATCTCACCATCTCCAGGTCATGAATCTTGGATTTAACTTGCAGATTCTCTTTCTCCAAGAGGTGCAGTTTGTCAGACCGGGTCCGGCTAGCATCCAGCTGCTCCTCCAACATGGCCTTGGTTTCCAAAAGGATCTGGTTGTCCTCCTTCAGCTCCTACAGAAACCATCACATAAGCAGGGAGTACAGAATAAGAGTGAGAGTAAGTTAAACAACAAAACAAACACTGAAGCTAGTAGAAAATAATGTTTTGGAAATGTCTGTTATTGTCTACTATTATCACAATAGTAACAGTATTAATAGCAAATTAATATAAAAAATAGTGTATGCTGGATTACCACTTTTTTCAGGTTTTTATGTTTTAACTCTCATTCTTTACATTTTGCTTAAGGGTAAAGGCAACATTTTTTATTTTTTTAATATCTTGTCTCTTAAAATATATAAGCTACAATTTTAATTCATGTCGTCGTCCACACTGCATCCAAACAGCGCGACTGTTACATACATCACTACAAACTCAGTACAACTTTCTGTTATCTAAAATAATGTATTCAGTTAGATATACAGTTTATATTTAAATGGTGTAAATACAATGCAGGGTCAACAAACAATTACAAATACTTCCCCCTGTATTTAAATACATCCATATTTATAGTAAAAACAAAAACTATTACTTGTATCTCACACATTGTCACTTATGTTGTTTGTGTGCTGTTCATAACATGGCCAGTTTGAATGAATACTAAGAAGAATTGTTTATGAGCTAGATGACACTCAAGGTACCCGTGGTTGTCTTTAACAAAAAACAACTTCTTGGTTCAAAGTAACGCTCTGTGTGCGGGGGAGTCGTGTACCTCGACTCTGGCTTTGTAAAACTCAATGTCGTGAAGTCTCTCCTTGTATCGACTCAGCTCGCTCTCCAGTTTGTCGACACGGATTGCTTTCTCTCTCAGCGCGTCCAGCTCGTCACGGTAGGCCCGAGCTGAGCGAGCGTCCGTCAGCAACTGGTAGCTCTGTAGGGATTGACAGCCAAATACAGGGCATGAATATATGGAGGTAATCAGATGTGAACAGATAATCATGAATCAAAAATTACAGATTATTTTCAGGGACTCTGATCTTACCTATGATTAACTAACAGCTTGAATCATGTCAGTTACATAAACAGATAAAGAACAGGACAAACCCTCCACACTATCAACTATCACAAACGTGCATCCACACACATACACTGTCCTCCGTCCCCTGAACTCAACCACCTTGTTCACAGCATCCAGCCAACCAATCCCCCACTTCAAATCAAAAGCCATGTGAGGCTGTTGCTAGACTAAAGATAGCTCTAATAGCCTCTAATGAGCTAAGTCACTAGCTAGCTGATTAAAGCCTGGCAACACTGCAGAAACAAAGTACTTAGAAAGAGGAGGGAGCAGCAGGTGAAGGGGAGATGAAGTGTGTTTGTGTGTTGTGTGTATGTTGGTGTGTGAAGGTTGCTGTGTCTTGTGGCGTTACCTCTTGCTGAAGCCTTTTGAGCTCTACTTCAATGTTCTCAAGCTCCTGCCTGGTGTCCAAAAGCTGCTCACTCTTCTCCTCTCTGGAAAAGAGACAAGGAAGGACGGGAGTTAAACAAGGAGAAAAAGTCAGAGAAGGTAACCTAGAGGACGGAAGGACTGAAGGATAGAGAAAGATATAGACTCATGTGAAGCAAAATCAAAAGAAAGACAAATATGTTTTTGTGTCTCTGGTCGTATGATTAAGATTAAACCATACATTGAAAATCACGTGTCAAATTTATTTATTAATTTTTTTTTTTCCCAAGTGTGCGTGCATGGGAGTGTGTAAAATCGGAGTATTAGCAAGGACATTCCTTTAGGGCTGTTTCCATTTCAGAGTTTGCAGCTAAATCCTTTAATGGTACCAACCTATTGACATGGTTGCACAGTTACATTTCACATAAGCAGCCCGTAAGAGTTTACAAAATGTCAAGCTACTGACACTGAAATACTGGAAGGTTAGGTTTGTGATTATTGAAGTTATCCAGGCAGTTGCAGTAATTACATTTATTTTTAATAGCACCAAATCATAACAGAAGTTATTTCAGGATACTTTTCAAAAAGAGAAGGTCTAGACTGTACTCCTTATAAAATGATTTACAGAGACCATGAGCAAGCACTTGGCAACAGTGACAAGAAAAACTTCCTTTTAAAGGAGGCAGTAGTTAAGAGTGAACTGAAGACTAAATAAACGTATTTAAAAGCAGTAGTACTTTACTATTTGGAGGTTATAGAGTCTATATTTCTCAAAATGTGAGTGACCGATTTCTTTTTCAATTATTTTTATTCCAATTTTGATGAGTTTCTGTCATTTAGGCTTCTTCATTTAAAAAACTAGTGTTAGCATTAACACAAAGCAAAGACAACACCCCATCCCAGGTATAACAGGCTTTTGTTGGCAAATTGGAAAAAACAGCAACTCACATGTTGATTTCAAGACATCAATCAACCCACTAACCCATTTTCTTTAGTAAAAATAGCCTATTGTGTGTGGTGTGTTTGAGCTGTGGTAGTGGGGACACAATGTCTTTCTTTCTCCTTTTCTTGTTTTGTGCTGGACATCACACTCTGCATAACACACAAGGACAAACAGAGAGGGGAAAGACAGTTAAAAACAACTGAAGAAAAGATAGTACCCTGTGACTACTTCGGGGGTAAACATATGCAAATCTTCCCCTGAGGCTCAAACCCCTCATCTTCCAACGACTTCAACAAATAAGATTAGAGAAGGAAAGAAGAACGTTTTATATCTGGTTGTCCAAGTGGTACAAAACACAGAATTTAATTTCTGAATCTTTAACCCTCAATAGTAGGCTCTTGTCATCTGCTATCTTACACTCCTGCATCATTTGTTTAAGTGAGAGCGAAATAGGGCAGCCTGACATTTGCCGTTTGTGTGAGTTTGCGCGTGTGTGCAAATCCTTCAGGCTCCAACCACAGAGGGAGAATGTGTCACACTGCTTTGAAGGGAAACGACTGCATTCCTGAGATGCTGTTCTGTGTGAGTGTGCACAAAACTGCTCCACTGAACATCTGATGGCCTATTTGATTACAGCTCTTTGGAGTCTCAGGGTGCATCTCAATAAGGGGAAAGGCACTTTTCTTTTCATGCTCTCCCGTTTCATCTCCTCCTTCCTCCAACAGCTAACTTTATTTGGCAAGTTGGGAGTTGATATGCAGGCAGGATGTTCCTTTTCCCTATTTATGTTTTTGTTTCCTCAGTTAACCCCCTGCGCCTTTTGCAGCCCCACCCCGTTCCCCCCTCAACACCCCATCTCCAAATCACAAACACCTGTCAACTCTAGCATGGAAGATTAGCTTTAGGCTCATATTATGGATGCAGCTGGCTCTGCTGCTTATGTTAATGGTTTAACGCGTGCTGCATCTGCGCAAGCACAGGCGCAAACACTTGTATGCACGGCTATATTTGAAAAAGATCTTAAAAGATGTCTGTTAAACCTCTACTCCTCAATAAAGAAACAAAATAAAAACATGACAAATTAAAAATCAACCTTACTGACCTTTAATATTCCATCAGAATCTGAATTGGGTTTATTGCCAAGTAATTGTAATTGTATTATACAATAAACAAATTAGGTATTCAATGCATTAGTCCTGCAGGAACATGTGGTTGTTCAATGAGGATTACAATACAGCAGACTGGTTTTAAAATGCTATCAATCTGCCATCAGTCTAGAACAAAATGTGCTCATTAAGTTTGTAATTTATAACTAATGTATGAGTTAATGTCTACTGACATTCAAGTTGTATTTAATGCTGTCAAAGGGATAGAACTGTTGAAAATATGTTTAATAAGGGACTTATAGGCAGGTAATGGAAGTACAAAAATATTTATTCAGCCTGGTAATTGAGTTAAGACTCATTGAGTAACAGCAGCTGTAGAAATGTGTGTAAACTTAGTGTGTGTCTGAGCTAGAACAGGAGGAGGAAAAGCAGCCAAGACACAGTAGCTTTAATAGAAACATTAACAAACAGACCACTGTGGGAACACTGAACCATACCCCCCAGCTCTGACCTGGTCTCCTTCAGACACATACACAGACACAAACACACAGAGACACACACAGGGAGACACACACAGAGAGACATACACAAAAGACCACACACAGAGACACAGACATCTACATTTGTATGCAGAGACAATATCTGTGCATGTGCATGCACCCAGACACAACAAACACACTCCTCTTCTGCCTTAGAGAAGAAACTGCAATCATGTGACCAGACTACATCTGCATGGACAGACTTAAAGCCATTTTTGTCCCTTGTTTGGTCATTCACATGACAATACTTTTCTATCACAGACGCCGCAGCAAAAAGTAACGAATACTATAGCAACCAAACAAAATAACTCACTGGCCTGTTTGGGGTTTGTTTTTCTAGCCCTATTTAGGTCTTCTGAGGAAATCGTCATAATGTGGGTCAGGAAAGTATAAGGGAAATGTCTACAGTACATACATAAATGTCAGAGTTTAGGCTCACTCAAGGAGAGATTCTTTTCACTCTTTTCATGTGGTTCAAGCAGAGGGCAACTAGCACTCCATTCTGAGTTACAGCTAATGGTTAAAGAACTATAATTCTTGTTTGCATTCAGCCCTCACACATGCCATTGTCTATTTGACAAAGGAGACAGAACAAAATCTCATGCAAAATACAGGTGTGGAAAGATACAGTAATCAAATATGGCCTTTTTTCCAGATCATTAGGACTCCTGTGAATTAGTTCTTCTTACATTATGTCTCTGCTAAAGAACACAGTGGGGGACAACTTTGCATGAGGAAGCTTGTTGGTTTGGTTTGGGCATGTTGAATGTTGTTTTTTTTAACAAATTTGAGAAGTTCTGACAAAACTCTTACCCAATTTTAGTAAAACAGGGGTTGCGTTCATTTTAATGCTGTTAAGGTGATGAATAGACAGATAGTCTGGAAATAACATCCATTCAAGCACACAAATGATTCCCTTGAAGTAGGAACTACGCATTGTCTGGCCTGATGGAGATCTAATCTAAGATTAGTTTCGGTGGGGACATAATCTTGAAAACACTGTAAAAGAAGAACAGACTATGAAGTAATCAAAACCTCTTAACCTTTTTACAATAAAAGAAGACCTCTCAGCATTCAGGATCAACACCGACCTTATGACGCCAGCCACTCTGTCAAATTAGATGTTACGTTTGTGCAACATTTAAATACTTCCCCTTGCTCTTTTTTTCTTCTAACTGGCCTGTGTTGACCATTAAGCCTTTGTCTGGCAAGGGATTATAGCACTTTAAAAAAGGAAGCTCTATTATTCATAGGCAGAATTTTAAAAGGCCAACGTTTGTGAGTGTGTGTGTGTGTGTGTGTGTGTGTGTGTGTGTGTGTGTGTGTGTGTGTGTGTGTGTGTGTGTGTGTGTGCGTGCGTTGTAATGTAACATCCCAGCAGCCTGGTCTTGTGTGAGTAATCATGATGTAGGGAGGAAATGGACTGCGGGTATCATCACTTATCCTCCTTGCATGGTCACTGTTGTTCTTTCAGCATCATGTTTGAGGCTTGAATACAGTCACCAAAACTCCTAAATAATAACATGGGCAGACCACTATGAGCATATACTCAGTGATCACTATATAATAAAAGAGATAATGAATAAATAACTACAAAAAAGGACAATAATGCAGTCTTGATATAAGGACATCCACAACAAACAATTCAAATGTACATATGATGGGACAAGAGTTAAATTAAGATGAAGTTAAGACGCCTTGTGAGTGTACGATAAACAAAAAAAAGAGAACTACAGTAGAAAACAAGATCAGGATTAAAAGTCACTGTCTAATTTCAGAACTTGTTTTTCTAGCTGATAAAGCCAGGGCACTCACAGTTCCTGTCGAAGGCGTCTGATCTTGGCCTTGGCATCAGCCAACTCCACAGAAAGGTGTTGCCTGCTTTCGGTCCTCCTCATACTGGGGGAGTCACCGGGAGACTGGGTGGGACAAGGAGCCAGTGGAGACAGCTGCACACAGTCTCTCTCCTGGGTTAACTCCACTATAGTCTGGATGGAGAGAGGAAAAGAGAGAGGGCAGATAGTAAGATTTTTAGCTGCGTAGATGAGTGTAAGAGCCAATTAAATAGAAGTCGGGGTGTGTAACCTCAAATTTGACTCTGGGGAAAAACTAATGCACTACAACAACTGTTTTGAATCTGTATTTAGGGGAATCGATACAGTAAAAACCTATATTGCTAGTTTCTGTAACGGCAACAATTAGAATTAGGGTGAACTAGAGACAAAAAGGAAAGTAGATTTATGGATTCACCAAAAGCCCCCCCACCCCACCATCAAAAACTAGAACACAGGCATTAAGGCAAAAAGTGCATCCACAGTCCCACACACAACCTATTTTGATCTAGTGCCTGTGACAGGAAATGGGATTTTAATTGAGAGCGGCTGGACTACACGGCGATAATCTGGAGGCTATTACACACACACAAAAGATCAGCTATATCAGTCATGGGCATCTGCACCCTATGGGTTGGAAACTCATTTAATGACACACACACACACACACACACACACACACACACACACACACACACACACACACACACACACACACACACACACACACACACACACACACACACACACACACACACACACACACACACACACACACACACACACACACACACACACACACACACACACACACACACACACACACACACACACACACACACACACACACACACACGAGACAGTTAACAGTTTCACCCCTTCCTTCCTGAGGCTGCTCTCTTGTGGTAACAGCCAAAAAGGGAAAAGTTTCCACATAACCTTACTAGAAGTAGCCCGTCATTTTCATTGGCACAATTCTGTTCATAGACCTGTAACAGACATCCACAAACACAACCTCCCCACAAGCCCATAGAAAGAGGGAAGAGAAACACTTTCCTAGTTGTGCTCTGCTCTGTTTATTGTGCTTGTTTATTGTCGTTTTGCTTACGTTGCATTTATGGAATTTCCAACACGGCTCAATAAGTCTATACTCACACACACCCCCTCATATCTCTTTACCTCCAGCTGTGTGTCCCTCTCATCCACCAGTTGTTTGAGGTGGAAAGCCAGGTTTCTGGAGAGGCTGTCCAGGTCCTCAGGGGGCATTTCCCCACTTTCCAACCACTGCAGGTCCACTACATTCTCCGGATTATGAGTCACCTTAAATCACAACATTATATCATCAACAACAAGATTTTGTCGCCTGATGTAAAATGTTGTGCATCCAAATTATGCGTTCCAAAGGAAGTCTAGGAGGTTAAATATCTGAATCATTTCCAGTTTGTCTACTATGCAGGAGAATTACCTCTTGGATGTGGGATGCGATGGCAGCTTTGGTGTCAAAATCCAGAGTCTGGATACGCTCAATGTACTCTTCCTTCTTCTCACACTGTGAACAGAAGTGGAAGGAAAGTAGAAGAAAAGACATGAGACTTTAGAGAACTTAAAGTGTTAAAAGGGTTGGAGGTCAACTGGAGGTTAGTAGACCAACACTGCAGACACCATGCAGAGCTGCTCTGATGTACAGATTTTCAGGAAGCAGTGGTTGTGTTTAGGAAAGTAGTCTAGTCTTCAAAAACTTTATTATCTGGATCAGACAAAGATCATTTTCCTCTCATGCTGGCTGTAGATGAGATTACAACAAAAATGTACCCTACATGTGGATGTAAGCTCTCTTTCACTGTGTGCTAATTCTTACCAAGCAACAGGCAATGCTTTGCCTAATAAAATCTAGAGTAGAGAAAATAAAGTAGAGGAAATATTAAGTCGGAGGTGCTCGCATGAATTTAACTATGGTGTATTTTTTCCTAAAACAATAGAGCCGGTGAAAGGTCAATGCTTGTTTGAAAAGCAATGAGTAAGAGCTGAATGGGGCTTTGTCACAAGACAGGAAAGGTCTGCTACGCCATTCATTACAAAGCATTAGCTGTATGATAGAGTTAGAGTTCATTCACTTTATCAAAGGGAGAATATGGCTGTAATCAAGGGAGGCTGAACCTTCCACAATAAGATTTCTGGCTTTAGAATTAAATTGCTACAAGATGACCAATAAATGTAGCGAACATTTCAGCAACTATTTTGTTTGATTGCCATCTGTTATGAACTTGCTTTGTTCCTGCTCTTTGAAACTTAAATTACATGTGAGGTGTGTAAATGTGGACTAAACTGTGCTCTTACCTGGACAGCACAGCCTAGTAGCAGCAGTAACAGTTTTTTCATCTCCTCCAGACCTTGCTCTAAGAAAAGCAAAGATACAGAGTATTATGACTGCAGCCAAAACACTTATGGTATGTCTGCATAAGACACCAAACAAAATGACTGTCAAAACCAAACACACAATTTGCAATGATTCCAGTTCTGTCTTGTTTCTGTCTTGTCCTACATTCTGTTCAACCAGCTTTTGTGGTTTAAAACGGCGTAAAAACACACAGACGTTGATGAATAAGTTCTACTGGCAGATGTTTAACTGACAGCTGTGGAAACCTTTGCCCTGAGCATTTCACCGCAAAATGAGATATCTGGTGAATGATGGAGGGAGGTAACTAATAATGAGGTTTATATTTGTAAATCCCTTCTTTCCATAGCAAAACATTGTATTTTTCAAATGCAGCTATAAAATTAATCCAGGTAGTGTTTCCTTGGCAGCTCTCTGCCTACTCTGGCACGTTTAAATTTATTTTCCTATAAAAAACAAATCAAGATTTAGAAGGTCACCGTTCTACTTTTCCACATTTGCCTCATTTTGAGGTAGGAAAAATCCTTCATCTATGTCCCATTTAATTGGTAATGACATACCGATAAATTAATTTCTTAAGTAATTACAATTCCCCCCCTAATAAAACTCCTTCCTCTATTGATAGTGCCACAGTGTTTTCCACAGTGTAATGAGCTGGCAGGATGAACTTCCAGTACTCCTCCACATGTCAGGACATATTGTCAGAAACTGCTGAAACCCACAAGCAGCTGCTGGCACCCTCAACAGGCCTGAGCTCATCTGTGGGATTTGGGGCTAAACAACAGTAAACCAGGTGGTGTATGTGTGTGTTGCACTGACTAAGTGGTATGGTATATGCAAGTTGTGTGCATGTGTCTGTGTCTATACTAGGAGTGTGTTTCCCCTATTTGGAGCAGGTGTGTGTGTGTGTGTGTGTGTGTGTGTGTGTGTGTGTGTGTGTGTGTGTGTGTGTGTGTGTGTGTCTGATAAGCCAGATCATCATGTGGCCCAGGGGGTAGTGAGTGCTAACACTGTCCAGCTCTAATAATAATAATAAATCCAGATTAGTGACAGCATGTTTTCTGTGTAGGGTGGTCTGTTTGCCTCTCAGTTTAATGGGCCAATCATCACAGCAGGAACAGCTAAACAGCAGACATACAGAAAGACAATTATGATCTATGATTTTACTTTCCAAATTATTTAAAATGAAATCAAATTAGATGAATTAAACTATTTATTGCTAATTAAATCCCCCCAAAAATAGTCTAAAAAATGACTGCTGGAGATAGGAGTCCAATTGTCTTAGTAGAGCACCGGTTGAGAGAGCGAACAGACAACCAGGCAGTTCCTTTGGGAAAGCTCAGTCTACCAAAACAAACTGGGTCCCACTGACAGGACCTATCCATCAATTTTACAGAATCCTCCACACAATCAAATCAATCTCCCTTCTCCAGTTCTTCTTGAATCAATAAGGACACACAAGTCGATGTGTTATTGAGCAAAAGTGACCTCCATGTGGTCATGATGTGTGTGAGGTTAAATCATCTCTTAAGCGTGAGACCAATATTACACTCATGGCAATTAATACTTGGGAACCAAGGATCCGCCAGAAAACCTGCTGCTGTGCTGCTCTCTATAGACTGAAACCTTTGACCGTGACGTGTTTTGGCCCTAGCCCAGTCAGTGATGTCACAGAAGATTGCCTTACAGCTGGTGGAAAACTGAAGCTTAGCGGCAGCTGTTTTCCACTTTGTGATTTCACTGTCGAATCTACCCATTAAGACTGGCTAATGTTTGGATGTTTCTATCATGATATAGAAATTCAGCTATAATTACATTTGTTCTGTACTGCCGCCAAGGAAAGATGGTGAATTTTGTTTTTCTAGGTCTTAGGAAAACTTTCCAGCTGCTGGGTAGGACATCACATGTTGATCTTGTTCTGTTCAAAAAGTCTGAATGTACAGGTAATGGTGCCAGTATACTCCAAAAGAAGTACTTGTCAGATTGTTGAGCAGCATCTGAAACCCACTCTCCCCGAAATGAAGACATTAGGTTCTTGCATGTTCCCAAAGAAATACTTAATTTCCAATAGTTCATATTTTTTCAATAATCAAGTATTTGTTTCTCTAAGCATTTTGTCAACCAAGGACTTGTTGCGGATAGTGATGGTGTGCCATGAATCAAGAGGCTGTCACTGTTTTGGGCTTAGTCAGTACAAAGGTGCAAATTGTTGAAATTTGTAAGCAGCACCCGCATTCACGATATAAGGAGAAATATTAAGCATATAAAGCGAATATGAGCGAATTTGGGCCTGGAAGGATGACGGTAGATAAAACTTAATTCTCACAGCTGCAGGGCTTAATGGTACCCTATTAGAGCCATAGGAACGTATTCTAGTCAGGGAAGGGATTTAGCTCAGCAAATCTACTGGAGCAACCTAGGAAAGATAAGGGACCTCGTAGGATAAATAATTTATACAGCTAGCAAGGGAGAACAAGAGGGAGAAACGTTAAGAGGGAGAGATGAAAGGAAAAGAGACAAAGCACCACAGAGCACAAGCAACACAAACACAAGGAAGGGATATAGAAACTGGGAAACCAAGAGAGAGAAAGAGAGCAGGAGGAAGGCAAAGAGGCAAGGTTGAAAATAGAAAAGCAAAATCTCCCTGCAGCAGCAACATCAGCGAGGAGGCACTACCCGTCTCTCTGCTAGCCTCATCTTTTCTCTATCCCTCCCTTCTTACACACACGCTTACTACCATCTATCCATTTATTCTCTGCAGCACACATCCACCCATCCTTCCTTCCTTCCTTCAACATTGTTATAAATCATCTGCGCCTCCCGAGTGTTTGCAGTCACTCATCTAGGCTTCCTTTTTCTCCTCCTTTCCTCCCTCCCTGCTTTATCCTCTCGGCAGGAAACAAGGGGTCAGACGGACAGTGACTAACCCTTCTTCCTGCAGTGCCATTGTTAATCTGTGTGTGAGGATGTGAGCGAATAAGAAGAAAAAAATGTGTCTGCGTGCATGTGCAATCAATCGCTACAACCCTCTCATCCGCCATGATGAATACAGTCATTCAGGACCCTGATGACTTGCATGCCAGTGGTAATACTGGTACAAGCAATATGATATTGCTTTTGACGGCATGCCAGAGTGTATTCGACCCATATCACTGGAGCAGAGGACAGGGTTGGCTGAACCTTATTTTCGGATTATTTTAGGGCATTTGTGCTTTATAAGTGTCAAGTGACATCACAGACGGAGATCCTGGAGCCAAGGTCAGTCGCATGAGTAACAAGGCACGCAACCCCAAGTCTGCCTTTATACAAGGAACACTGAACTGGATAAAGCTGATCATAAAACAGAACAGTTTTCTGTTTATCCGCAATCCAGGATGTGTCTTACACGCCCATACAACACACATCTATTCTATTCTTTCTTATCCAGACACTGGACACCAAAACTTTGTGAAAACAGGCTGCATAAACACAACAGTCGCCTCCACACGGAACAAAAATAGCAGACCTGATCAACTGTCAAGCCCCTCATTTTATGCTTTGTGTCAGCTGCCAACAGTGGCCCTCCAGTTGCTGCTACAGTTAAAATGATTTCTGCTCACTGAGGAGGGCTTTCATCTAAAACCATGTTTTGAATCATGTCATTCATTCGTTCATATTTCATTCATAAAACGTATTTACAAAAGATTTGTATACAGCAGTCTGTCAACTGTGCATACCTCTCCTTCAGTGGGAGTAGTGGAGATAGGGGATATGATGTTTTTGTAGTCAATCACTGTTGCAGGCATTTATGTTATTCATGCATAAATTCAGTCTGCAAGAAACTACACTACTACACTACACTAAGCAGCTACAGACCAGCAAATACATCAATCGGTTTGGGGTCACAGTAACACTGATAGAAACTTAAGTTTTCAAAAGATCAGACCAGATCACGGCTGAAAATACACAGGCTTCCAGACAGACTAAACAAAGGAGGTACTGTGTGTGTGTCTGTGTGTGTCTGTGCGTGTGTCTGTGTGTGTGTCTTTGTGTGTGTGTAAATCATACACACTCACTAAACACTACTGCGTGCATGAGTGTGCATCTGTGTATCCCTGTGCGTGCATATATAAGGCAGACTAAGGTAAATCAGAGCCTTGGGGGCTACTACAGTGAATTCCCACTGTTCACTGTTTTGAAGACACTCCTCCCCCATCCACCAACTAAACGCACACACGTGCATGCACTCACACACACGCAGAGTCATCCCCTGCCCCCTAATGAGAGCATAATAAAAGCCACATGGCCAATGACTTTCAGCTGGCAGCCTCTGAGCCAGAGAGCCAGACTCTACAGCCACCGCTGGTCTGACTGACTGACTGATTATCTGACAAGCTAGAGGGTAAAGTGCAAAAGAAACCCTGAGGAATGCAGTCTAATGCTTTCTGCCTGCTCTGGTCCACTGGCTCGGAGCTGACCTCCACTCATCTGCATTGGGTCAACTTAAGTATTCACTTAATATTCACTTCAGTCGTGTGTAAGGCCGCTGTGTAGGCTGTAGATCTTCAAGGCGCTTTACATAACAGTAAATCTTCAGAGATGTACTGCTGCGAAATTAGCTGGGACGTATTCAAACAGTAGACGATATTTTGGGAGTTCTGTTCATGAAAGAATCCCTCTTGGCTTCACAATGATTAGACTGGCTCATTATGGGAGAAAGCACGGGGAAAAAACCTAATAAAAAGCCAAAAGAAAGCTGTTTAAGAGCTATGACGTATGCTGCAGATGGCCGTTATCAGCAGTAGCTGAACTAATATTTTCAATAACCCATTGAAAAAACACTTTAAAGTAGGCCTGCACAATTAATCAAAATATTATCAAGATCGCAATATGGCCAACATGCAAATTGCAAAAGAGCTGTAATGTTTTATACACCAATAAACTAAAAACTAATGGATCCTGTTGATTGTTTGGGTTTAGTCTTATACAATGGAAACTTGTTTCGACTTTGGCAGGGCCATGGCAGATTCTTTTGTTGTCCCTAAAGGCAAATTAACAACCAGGTTATCCTTGCATGTAACAGAAACGCAGTCAAACACAACAGCGCATACAAATGTGTGCTCACTGCAACCTTATTGTTCATTTATTTACCCTTCATGGCTATGAGGGTGTATGGAAATTAAACAGTAACCGTGACCATTGAAAAGTGATGAAAACCCAAAAATAAAGAAAGTGTGACAAAGGCAGCTGAGGGAGGACAGGGATTTAGAAGCCATTTCATCTGCTTAGAAAGGTAAATATATCTTTCAACAAGCTCTGGCAGCTGAGACTGGAAACAATTCCCTCTGAAGAGCTGATTATTTCATTTGCAGGGATGTACACAAAGGCTAAGAATATCTGTATGGACACTCTTTTCCAAAAATTAAAAACAACTAACAACTAAAAACAACAACAACAATGACCTTGCAGTGGTTTTAGCAAGAGGTTTTGCACTGGGGTGGGAGGCATTTTTTTCATCACTTAGATCTCCTTTTATCCACATAAACCTTGTTTTATTTCCACAGCCAGTGTGCCATGATCCTAAATGATGGCCTGCTATGATTTATCTCCTCCCGTCAATGGTTTCATCAAGGTCACACTGGAATATCAAGTAGCACTTGTCAAGCTGGTCAAGCTGCTCCAAAATGTTTTCATGAAATGAAACGTTCGACGCTGCACTACTGTTGCTTGAAGGCTGCTTCAGACATATCAAATACCACGGCTGGGATCAGAGGTCAAAGCTTTGCTACGAAATGGTTAAATTAATTTAACACCTTAGGTAATAGAAGTCTACAGATTTGGCCTGCCTTCGTCTTGTTCAATAAGCCATGGCAGGGAAGTTTTATGGTGTGGTTTACTTTAAACTGCTTAAGTAAAGGACATAGTGACACTATTAATCAATTCGACTAATGGCAGAAGTCTAATTATGCTGCTCTTTCTTAGGATTTGCTTTGTAATAATCTTTAGCTGAAATTATTATTTAATGTTTTTTTTAGTATGTTGTTTGTACAATAATAGCGCAGTAGTTGCATTATGGTCACCAGTAAATACATTTTAGAGGATTTAGATAAATCTAGTTGATCCCTCAATTATCTGAGTCAAATTAAGGTAATCTATAATGTCTTTAAGCTTTTTCCTGCATTTTTTGCTTCCCGAATGTATGTTAAAGTCACCCATGAGGATGATCTCCTCCTTATAATAACCTTCTCTGAAAATGGTATGCAAGTATTCATAAAACATGCTGTCAGGAGATATTGGTCTGTATATGGCTATTGTAATAAAAAGGACATATTTGGGGAAGCTATATGCCCAAATGCTGCTATAAGCTTGAAGCAACCAGGTAATCTGTCCATTTCCCTTCACCAGGACACTAAAATCAGCATTTTGTTTTTACTTTCTTCTGTTACGTCCCCTTTCCTTCTGCAATCATGTCCAATTTTTAATGGTGTGGGTTATGAATGACAGTCAAGAGAACGAGCTCATTATTTAGCACATGGAGAAACAAAAGAGGAGAAGTGGCTAGAAATCTACAGTCAAAAAGAAAGTCTCTTGAAACATCAAAGCGATGGATGTGAAAAGGACTGTAAAATTGCATGTGTCCTCCTTCTGAACTGTATGCATGCTTGCTGCCTCTGTGATTCAACTAGAGGAATGTCTTGGAACAGTTATGAATCATTTTTGTTTTGCTTTTGTTTAGAGGCCAAGAGCACTCAAATTCAAACCTGCACAGTATTTGTCAAAGCATTAGACTGTATAATGCTGCGGTTGTATTGTTTAGTACATTGACACTTACCAGACAGAGGGTTGCGGCCCAGTACCAGCACATTTGGCAAAGGCATCATCACCAGCTGCTGGAGAATCTCCTGTTACACAAAGAAAAAGACACAATAGTATTTAAAAACCAGTCTGGATATGAAAATGAATAGATACAATTTACATGACTCTAACCAAGCCTAGATAACTTGATTTAATTATTCAAAAAGGAGTCTTTGAGTGCTGGATTTTGTCAATATAAGTGTGCTTGGTCAACATGTCAATGGAAGATTCAAACACTTAAGCTATAGTTTACATTTGATTGTTTAAATAATTCACATGTGTACAGAGGCTAAGAGAGCAGAGATTTTCGGTGCAGATCACCATTTGAAACAGCTTAGACATTAAAGTAAGAATATAACACTAGAAAGATAATCACCCGATGTTTGATTGTGATAAGAGTGAAATTGTGATTGGTAATAGTAATAGTGAGTGGTATGCCTAAAGTGTAATTCTGAACATTGTAACAGTGTGGGTGAGGGTAAATCTAAATTATGATTATCAAAACAGCATCAACCTCCTATAGTGGACAAGAGTGATATTCTCATGTGCATTGGTGATGTCATTTAAGTTGAGTAATTACATTATATTTGTGTGGGAAAAAGCACAGCCTGAAATGTCGTGCTTGCACAGCAAACACATGCTACCATTGAAGGGGACAGGTGTGTGTGTGTGTGTGTGTGTGTGTGTGTGTGTGTGTGTGTGTGTGTGTGTGTGTGTGTGTGTGTGTGTGTGTGTGTGTGTGTGTGTGTGAGACATGATGCAAGTGACGGTGGTATTTATGTGGGTTAAATTACTGGTGTGGGTTTTGCCGCAGGGCCCCCTCCATTCACATGTCAATCATCAAAACCAAAAATTAAACCATGAGCTGCAATTTACAGCACTCATGCAGACGCATGCACTGACATGTACATGTATACACATACACAGACACACACGGTGAGTAAGGGATGGGCAGAATGTAATTAATGTTGATGTTTTGATTCAAAGTCAAATTGCCAAATCATGGGCTCAAACAAGTTACTAGCAACAACAAATTACTTACATTCATGTTTTGGCATAATTATATTGCCTGATCTTTGGCCTGACTAACATGATGCAAAATGTATTTGCTTAAAAAAACAACCAGGTTAGCCATGTGGTATGATAATGCACTATGAATCATTAGGGATGCAAATATCAGAGATACCAATGTTTAAAATAATTTGACCGATAGCTGATGCCAATACTGATGTATTTTGGTTATTGTTATTTATCCACCTTTTTGAAACAAAGAAATCTACAAATATAAGCATCTATGCCTTATTGCCGCTCAGTCTGTTTCTCTTTTTCAGCCAAGATGTGAGACCAGTCGCTCGCTGTCTGTGCGGCTGCATGGAGCACATAGATGTTTACATGAAATTCGTTCCAGTGCTGGAAAATGGACTTGATAATTTCTCAAATATCCGAGTTGGAAATAACCAGCACAACATTTAGCTAGAGCATTATTGATGTGACACAGCAGAGAAATATCAGTCACTGATTTCAGTGAATACCATCTTATTTTCCAATGCCGGTGTCAGTCAACAAAGCGAATATCGGCCAATACCGATGGTCGGCCGATATACTGGTGCATCCCTGGCTATGACTCAGCATCCTGCCAAAACATTTGTATGGGTCTAACCTTTAGAGCAGTATAAACTTAGTCCAAATAACAGTTGTGTTGAAAAGAAAGGCTGCTTTCTTTAAGCAGAAAGGACAAGAAGGTCAGCTAACGTGAATATTTCATGTCTACCTGACGGCAGAAAGTAGTCTGAACTTATCGACCTCCCCAGTCCCACTATTCTATGCAGGTTTCTGCTGATGTCATGACAAAGAGGCTTATATAAGTAAGGGGGTTTGGAAAAAGCCACCCCCACCCCCCGCCGTAACCATCTGCCCTATACATATTGCATTACCTCATTGTGGAGGTAAAGGGGGACAGAAACTCTGACGTCATTTGGTGTTTTTGACTGGTTAAAAATAAAGCTACATCTGTTCTGCTTCCAACTGCTCTCAAAATAATCAAGAAACTAAGTTGGCCGAGACCTGGTGACCAAAGATCTGTATACCTTACATGCCTACACATTTATAATCTGCTGAACTGTAGAAGCACAAGTGCTGCAGGGATATAAAAAAAAAAGGGTAAACCACGGCCATTGCTAATGCCGAGCCAGAAGGAGGACACTGTGCTTAATAGGATAATCTTTATGTGTCATTAACTTATCAACAAGCAATGCATTATCTGTCTCACTAATCAGGAGAAAGATGCAGAGCTGTTGTCTCCGTCTGAGATTTAGCACCTAACCTTGAATGAATCAGCTTCTGCCTGACAGCCCCTAGCCTGATAATTATTGGTATTTGGCCAATATTACCATAGGCGTGTATATACACATCATGCAAACATTTGAAAATGTTTTCTAATTCCTAGCCTGCAGTTTTAACAAAATGTCAAATCTGCATTCTCTCTTCCAAGGTTTTCTTCCACACCATGACTCAGTTCCTCTTTCCTCACATATACCCGTGTTTGTACACAATGTGCTTGTTGTTTGAAGAACCTACACGTGTCATTGTTTCTCCATGTCAAGGGAAATTTATTCAGTACAGTCGCAAACACAACTTCAGCTATATCCTCCTTATCAGAGCTCGCAGCAGAGGCGACTGACTCCTGTGGTTGTATAAACCTCTGTCGGCTGTTTGATTTGATGCAGAGACAGAAACCCCATTGGTTTACAGAGGAAGATGTGGAGAATGGGGTGGTAGATTTCTAATGCATCGCTTGCATCTGGTTTCAAGGAGATAGTAGCATGGACAGACAAAGAAGGACCTGAAACAAGAGGTTATGTATCACTGTATTGTAAAGTTTTTTATGATTTCGTCCGTGTTGATGATAGTTGGTCCAGTTTTGCAGCTCACTCAAGAGGTGGAGATTACTCTGTTATGACACTCACTATAAGACCAACTTGAATAATGTATTTTATATAAAATGTTTGGGTCGCACTGATGGTCAGCCACTGTTACTAGCTCAGAAGGGTGGGTGGGACGGTGGTGATTAGACCACTGACCCAAACTGCCCTGTCTGTCTATCATTCTGTTTACACTGGTGTATGGGGCACACAGGGAGAAGGATTAGGGAGTGTTATGACTGTATCCTGAACAAAAAAGCCAGCCATTTCCAAACCTGTCAACAGAAAATTAATGAGACTATTACCTTTTCAGATATGCAATTAAGATCTTGTATTCAGAGTGGATTACTTTGCTCTTGTCAATAAACTAGTAAGCCTGTTCTACACAGATATCTGTTCTACCAGCAGAACAATATAAAAACAACCAAATGTTGTATAAAAGCATAGAGATCAGCATATATGCTCATGGCAAAAACAACACTAATAAATGAATACAAAATTATTTATAAGAATATATGGTGACCTTGATACTGATGATGAATAATATCAGGCAGTTCCAGTCAGAAATTACCAACAGCCATAATGTCTGAAGACTGAGACAGACTGACCCAACAAGCGTCAGACAGAATAATCAGCGTAGCTCAGACAGCCACAGTTGGTGTCTCACAGAGAGGCATTTGGTGTGCCTGACAGCCAATCCACCATGTGCAACTCATGACAGCCGCTTTGGGCAGAATAAGCCAAGACTTGAAAGGGCAAAGAAACCAAAATCTGCATCAACAAAGAAAACTACGGCGCCTAGAGTTACCCTAATATGTAATGTCTTAGGATGCATCCCGAGTGGTGTCTTTAATCTATTTTAGAGAGAAACGCATTCCTTATTCCAAATACTTTAATACAATATCACAAGACTATGAACAGAAAAAAGTGCATATCAGATTTGTTGTACATGTGCTGGTGTGAACCAGCATGAGTCACTGGAGAGATAACTCCAACTGGATCTTGAGTTTGGCAACCACACACAAACACACTTTTCTCCTTCTCCACAACCACCTGTCCCATTCCTGACACACACACACACACACACACACACACACACACACACACACACACACACACACACACACACACACACACACACACACACACACACACACACACACACACACACACACACACACACACACACACACACACACACACACACACACCTGTCCCCTTCAATGGTAGCATGTGTTTGCTGTGCAAGCATGACATTTCAGGCTGTGCTTTTTTTGCCCCCAGTCAGTCCCTTTTCTCTTTTTGCAACACACAAATATAATGTAATTACTCAACTTATCACTATAGGTTCACACTGCTATGGATTCAAGCAATTCTCTTTTACTGAAGAGAATTGCAGGGCAAAATCATAATACAGGCTTCGCTTCAGTGCACATATACATTTTTACAGTGAGACAGATACTGTATTTTTCGCACGTTTTTCCAACCCCAAAATGATTCATTTCAACTGATTTCCTCTTTTCAGTTTAAGAGTTTGCAAAGGAATTATCTGTAACGAGCAGAGTCATGAGCTTAGACAACACTATGCCTATTCAGCACCACTTTTCCTTCCTTTCATCCCCTTCTCAAGGGTCCACTGAACTGCTCTTGTTACATTGTGTTCCTCTGATGTGTCCGGGTGTTAGCTTGGAGCTTTCTGAAAAATCCCAGATCATCATGAGCCTCTGATGCATTTTCTCTTATTTTTAATCTGTATTCTATATCAGTTAAAAGACAGATTGAAGCACAGTAGGCCTAATGCAGACTAGATGCTTGATAGATGTTCAGACTGTCAACATCACTGTGTCTTTCCTGTAGGGCACAGCACTGTCACTCCCGCCTAGTGTGCAAAGAGTGCTGTGCAGCAAAGTGTAATGTCTGTATTTCATGCCATATTGAGAGGAGAATAAAAACACCAGTTACAAACTATAGGTTTTCTGACTGAGCTGGAGATGGAAGGAAATGGCCAAAACAAAGAGGTACCAATAAGACATGCAAGTCCAACCAACTTGGATGCACCACTAATACAGCACCGTAAGTATTTTTCTAGTCAAATAGTGTATGCACATAGACTGTAGTTTAGAAAT